TCAGAAACCGTGAGACGGAACCACTCAGAAAACCGGCATCATGACTCCTAGCCTCGGCCCAGTCTAACGCCTTTCCTCGGAGTAATCCGATTATGTAAGAGATCTTAACTGAATCTGAGACAAATGCTTCGGGCGATCTTTTAAAAGCCAACTGACAGCTAAACAAAAACCCTCGGCATCTGCCGAACTCACCGGAATAGGTCTCCAATGGGAGAGAGCTGGGTATCCGGAAGTCGATAACCGGAGACGGAACCGGATGTGCAGACGGAGGAGAAACAGGAGGTGACTGATCAGACGGTTCCGGGGGAGTTAGCTTGCTAGCCAGGTGGTGCAACACGTTGCTCACATGGAGTAGCCGTTGGTGGGAGTCAGATACCTGTTTCAGCAAACTATGGATGGTGTGTTGATGACGGGAGAGGGTTTCGGAAACGACAGGCGGGAAGTTAACGGACGAATTGGATTCTGCAATGGAGTCAACTTTTGGCCGGATGATTCTGTCACGTCTGGGTGGCAATTTCTTGACCCATGACATGCTGAATCCAAACACGGAGAGCAGGAATGTAAGTAAAGGTCTTTATTACTAAATAAGGGAAAAGTGAGAGACGGGAACCGACGAGATGCAGGACTGGCAGCAGGAATCCAGGAGAGTTTCTAAGGAGGGAGACAGAGTGAATATAAGGCGGAAAACAATGGGAACTTATCTGGAGACTAGTCTTACTGTTACTCGGTAGTAGTAATGGCACGGGAAGGATTGTCGGGTCCGGGTGAGCTGATGAGATCCACAGGTGAGGTATAGGTTGTCCAGAGGTGGAGGAGCAGGAATGGATGTTGGTTGGTGAGCGGCTGAGAGCGGGCGACCAGGGAATGAAGCAGTGTGTCAGGTAAAACTGAGATCCGGGCTTGTTCTGGAGCTGGTGATGAGTTGAGAGAAACCTGGAGGGGAGCAGGAGAGGGCATCAAGGTATTTACTGGCAACAGGTTCACAAGAATACAAAAACGAGTTTCAGGATCGGGCTGAGGCTGAAGCTACCCAAACAGAGTAATCATCCAGCGTGGTGATGTGTCGCACTGCTCCTTAAATCCCCTGGGCCTGATGAGGAGATCAGCTGCAGCTGGAGCTCTCAGACACGCCCACCTGTGGAAACAATGCTCAGAGGGAAAAGCCAGGTTACTTGCAGTCAGCTCACCACGGACCATGACAACTTGCTTTAAAAATGGTGAATGGTGTATTTGTTCAGTGCCTTCTTAAGGTTCTACAACCCCCCAAGGCACTTCACAACACAGTCAGGCATTCACCCATTCACGCACACACATTCACACGCTGGTGTGGATGAGCTACGGTGTAACTACAGCTGCCCTGACAGAGGTGAGGCCTGCCAAGCACAGGCGCTACTGGTCCCTCCGACCACCGCCAGGAGCACCAGCTAGTGTCTTGCCCAAGGACACAACAGCAGCATTCTCTGGAGCCAGATCGAACCTGCAACCTTCCGATTACTGGAAAACCCGCTCTACCTCTTGAGGTACTGCTGTTTTAGCGACACTACATTGGCTCTCTGGTTCTGGGTCATGATCCTTACTTTTAGAGCGTTACACGGCCAGGCTCCCAGTTACGTCTCTGATCCACTGACTGTCCACAACAGGACGCGCTGTAAGGCCAGTGGCTAGTGGCAGTGCCCCAAACTAGGCTTAGGTCCAGAGACGATCGGCATGGCCACCACACTGTAGGATGCTTTACCCCAGACCCTGTGCTTTTAAAGCAACAGAAAACACATCTGTATACTCAGGCTTTTTACTCATTTTTGTTGATTTTAATTTCATGAAGCTTTGTTTTATGCTTTTATGTCTTATAGGCATGGCAGCTTTATTTATAGAGCACATTTCAAACACAGAGGCAATTCAGTGTGCTTTATCAGGACATGATATGAAAACACATAAAAACACAAATTAAAATACACACAAATGGAATTACAGTTTAGAGCTAAAGGAGAAGACAAAGTTACAGTGCAGATTACAGTGGAGACGACGCAGCATAAAAGACAATTCATTTAAAGGCTGATGAGTACATGAGGGTTTTTAGTTTTGATTTAAACAACACTAGGGTTGGGGCAGATCTGAGGTCAAGGGGAAGCTGATTCCATATGTGAGCAGCATAGTAACTAAATGCACCTCCACCATGTTTGGTTCTGACCCGAGGTTCTACCAGCTGATTGTTTCCAAGGGATCTCGGAGCCCTCTTGGGTGAATATACAGGAATGAGATCTGACATGTATTTTGGTCCCATGCCACTGAGTGATTTATAAACTTTTTTTTGTCTTTCGGCTCTTGAAGAGTACAGACACTTTTTTCTCGTCTCCCTCCCTCTGATCCCAAGGCTCTTTGTCCTGTCTGTGCACGGCGCTTCTGCATTTTTTCTGGAAACTGGAAATTATTCAAATGGATCTGGTCAGTTGGTCTCTCAACGCGACTGACCAAATTTTTTCAACGATGAGAACGGGAGAAGGGGCTCCCGGTTGCCCCTCTGGGACAGAGCCAGCTGGGCATATACTGGACTCCTGGAAACAGTGGAACCTGATCTGCCTCTCTCAACTGTCTGAAGAGGATTCTGAAGATGTTTGGATATTCGTGGTTTTGGTGTCAGGATTCCTGCTCTTTGACCTGAGCGGTTACCTGGCATACTGGAAAATTAACGAGCTTTAGAGGAATATTGGCTCAATCCCGGAGCTCAGGGAAGGAATGCATCGTGCTGTAAACTCATATAATTGTCGAGGCGAGTCGTAAGCTTGGAACTTTGGCTAAGATTCAGGCTCTGGCACAGAAGGTGGATTCCGTCAAGGACAGAGTTGTGGACGGATCAGCACGAATTGGAATTGATTAATTAAGCCATTATTGGATCTAGAGGGGTTGATGACCAACAGAACTCTAAGGCAGAGAGGAAATTATCTCTGTCTGTCCCCAAAACAAGTTCTTATCTGAATCTGGTGCCCTTGAGCCTGTGAGGCTGAAGTAAAAACTCCCCCCTCAGAAGAAATGGTGAATGCTGCTGTCACTATGGAAACTCTTTCTCCCTCTCCCAGCCTGGGCGGGACTGTGACCGGTGAAGGCCGTGGAACCGTATCTAGGAGTCACTGTGCTCTCCAAGCCATTATCTCCCTCCTCTGTCCAAACGGAGGTGATAAGCGCTGCCCCATGCGGCTGCATGCACCGAAGCGAGGAGAGTCCCAACCCTACCTCCCCACCTAGTGGACACTTATATTGTGTAATGTCTGAAGTGTGTGCATATCTGTCTGAGGTGTTTTTTTTTTGCATAGCAAAGCTACCCTCTCGGGTGAGAGTAACTCTGAAGTACCTTTTTCCCCCTCCCCCGACTCCATCCTCATATCAACCCTCTTGATCTATTACGGTAGCGCGACTCGGGTTGCGAATGACCACAGCCACCAATTCTTGTCATGTATTTATGTCTGATCTCAGAATTGTGTGTACTGAAACTCTAATTTCCCTCTGGGATTAATAAAGTATTATTGAATTGAATTGAAGGAGCACTTTGAAATCTATTCTGTAGTTTACTGGTAACCAGTGTAGCTATCTAAGAACAGGAGTGATGTGCTCCGTTCTGTTAGTTCTTGTTATAGGTATGTGGCTATATTGATGTTATAGTAGCCATTCTGGTAGGGCTGGGGAGGACAGTTATTTTTGACTGAAACTGAGATCTCGATTATTTGAGACGATTATTGATGACCGTATTTTCTGGAGTATACAGTAAGTCGCACCAGCGATAAAATGCATAATGAAGAAGAAAAAAACATATACAAGTCCTCCAGCAGAGGATGGCAGTGTTTCAAACCCTCCCAGCAGGACGGGGAGCTCATTCCTGGGTTGGAGCCAGCCCGCAGCAGGGCGGTATAGCCTACATAATTTGGTATTTAAGTCGCAGGACTGGCCAGACTATGAAAAAAAGTGTGACTTATAGTCCGGAAAATATGGTAGTAAGAAACTTTTATGAAGGAGCGCTTCCTGGACTCAACATAAGTTGGTTTGAGGTGCTCTTTGGATGGGAAGATTCAGTCGAAAAAACAAGAAGAACTCCAAGGCACTCTCATTCAGAAAATCAATTAAATTCAATTCAATTCAAAAATACTTTATTAATCCCAGAGGGAAATTGATTGCTGTAGTAGCTCAGAATAATAATAATACTAATCAAGTCATCAAAGAGTTATTGTATATTACAATGGCTGTTGGCAGGAAGGATCTCCAGTAGCGGTCAGTGTTGCAGCCAAACTGAAGAAGCCTCTGACTGAAGACACTCTTCCGTTGTCGGACAGTCTTGTGAAGAGAATGCTCAGGGTTGTCCATCATTTTCTTGATTCTCTGGAGATTCCTTCTTTGCATCATCTCCTCCAGTGGTTCAGAAACTGCCAAAACTCTGACTGAGTCCTTGAAAGGGCTTGGAGTTCCTCCATCTTGTTGGCCAGTGATCTCACATTGCCCATTATGATCGATAGAAGAGATGGATTGAATTTCCTCTTTCTCTGTCTCCGTTTTGCTCCCGCTCTGCACCCATGCTTCTTGCGTTTTAGCTCATTTGGGATTTGTGGCTTCAGTTGAGGTATTATTTCAGCCTTTCCAATATTAATCAGCTGCTTCTGATTGTAAACCAGCTTGTTGCCATGGTTACGCATCATAACAAATGCTCAAAAAGTGAAAAGAGCTAAAACATAGCAGTAAAAATCCTCCAAGCTTCACAGTACCAGAAACAGAAAAAAATACTGTTTTTCTTGAGAAACTAGAAGAAAAAATGCCCAAGAAAAGGCAAAACTTACATATAGTCAACAGAGCTACTCCAACATGCAGCCACCCAGAGCAGCGCAGTTCCGGAATCAAATTTCTGCTGCGCACCTGTCAAGATTTCACAACACGTTTGTTCAGGTCACTTCAATCAAATTCATATGAACATAAGTTGCAGCAGCATATGTGATAAAATTGTTTCTTCCTTGTAATTCCAGAAAAGCTTTCCCAAGTGAGATGCCAGTTCATAGAACAAGTGTCCTCAGTAAATATCACGCAGCTCCTGGACGGCCTCCTGAAAGACCGTGTCTTCAATTATGAAGAGAAGGACTCAGTGATGGAAGACCATACTAAACGAGCCAGGGCTCGCTCTCTTCTAGACATGGTGATCAGCAAAGGAAACTCAGCCAGCGAGAAGATGATTGGTCACCTGGAAAGAATTGACCCCATACTTTGTTCTGATCTGGGTCTGTCCTGCAATCAGTCTGCTCAGCCAGGTAAGCGGTAACGCAACATTTAATTTGTTCTCATAAGCGCAGATTCTGTAACACACAGAATAAAATGCTGCTTTTCATGCAGTTGTGTTGTGGTTTTAGCTACACCGCCTCCGGGGGCTCTGAGTGGATCCGGTACAGCTGCCTGCACAGTGGAGGAGTTCTGGAAGGCTAAACAGAGTGATTCAAGCGTCAGTAATTCACCTAAAACCCCCAGACACATATGGTTCATGCATTCATTGTAACAAGTTTTTTTTTCCCATTTTGTTACTTTCACTTCTGTTTTTCAGGTTTACTCTGTAACCAAAGCTTCCTATCGGAGCCGTGTTGCCCTGCTGATCACGAACATCGAGTTTTCTCACGAGGCGAGAAGAAACGGGGCTGAGAAAGATGAAGAGAAGATGGAGAAACTGCTCAAAAACCTGGGTTATGAGGTGGTGAGACACAGAAACTGCACTGGGCAGGTACTTCGTTTAAACATTACAGATCCGTGACAATACATGCTGATTGAAATAAAGGAACAGATTTGTGTTTTTACAGGAAATTAACAACGCTTTAACCGACTTCACTGACCACCCCAAACTAAAAGAGACCGACAGCGTTGTGGTGGTCATCATGTCTCATGGAAAACTGGGAGCAGTTCTTGGAGTCAACTGGAAAGATGGTGATGATGACCCAGACGAGTTCCCCATCAACAACATTTTCACACTTTTAGGTCCAGAGAAGTGTCCTAAGCTGGTGAACAAACCAAAAGTCATCATCATCCAGGCCTGCAGAGGAGGTTATCATCATGCATACGCTCCATGAATAAATATTAGGGATGAGCCCGATACTCGTTTCAGACGAGTATCCGGTACGGATAAAGCATTTTTGACGAGTACCAGCATGAAATGAGTAAAACTCGTAAATATCTGTAATCGTGCTGAAGGAAAATCCTCATTGGGTAACTGACTGTCTTCACGCTCTGTGATTGGCCAGTCAAATAGAGCGCCCGCCCCTCCCTACACACAAAACTCTGCAGCCGGGAGCTCACAGCTCAGTCCGCGTCCGGTCCATCCACGCACACACACAGACAGTAACGGATTTCTCTGTGCTTGCTTCACCGTTCACGTTTCTTCAGTACTCCCTGTTTTCTTCAGTTTGCTTCTTTTTAAAGTTATTTAAAGTTACTTTTTTCGTAACGTACGTGGTGCATTTGACAAGACAGAGCTGAAAACGGCTCGTGCTGCGTCAGTCACTGCCTCCCCTCCGGTCAGGTTTTTTTCCCCTCTCTCTCTCTCCTCTTCCTCAGGATCCACTCCTTCTTTCCTATTCACTCTCTCTCTTTCTTTACATTTTAAAATCACAATTGTCTATTTTTTGCTCATTTTAAATATATTTTAATCATTTTCTAAATTCTTTTTTCTATTTTACATGTTTTGTTTTTGTGAAGCGCCCCGTGATTTTTATCTTGAGAGGCGCTAAGAAAAGATCTTTTCTTCTCTCTCTCTTAATTCATGCACTTAAATATTAATGTTCTGATTTTATTGAAAAACTTGTTCTGTAATAGTTTCTTTACTATTGTGATCAAAAACATTTAATCTCAACTCTGAGGCTGCTCTGTAAATAGTTTTCAAATAAACAATACACATAGCAACTTCTGATCAGACCACACCCACTTACGGTTAAACTACACCCACTTCCGGGTTAGGCCACGCCCACTCAGAGTACAGATACAGATTGTGGTGTACTCGCTCATCCCTAATAAATATAGAAGTCTAAAAGTTCCCCCTCAGCTCGTCTTATTCCGTTTGTTTCAGGCCAGAAAGGTTCTGTCCTTTGCAGCGATGCTCCAAACCAGGCTGACGCTGTTCCACCGCCTGAAGAAGGGTTTGAAGGTGACAATCTTCGTTTTGTACACAAAGAAAAAGACTTTATTCCTCTCCTCTCCTGCACTCCTGGTAGGTTAAATCAGAACTTTGATAAGTCCCATTCTGACGTGATGAACATGTCACTTGTAAGATTTTCCTACAGATGCAGTGTCATACAGACACAGGGAACAGGGGTCCCTCCTCATCCAGTACATGGCTGATATTTTTGAAGCCCACTCTGATCGGGACCACATCTATGAGCTATTCCGAAAGGTACGCTTTTGAATTCCAAACTATTTTCAAATGAGCAATGAGCATGAATTTTACAGGGAAATAATCACAATATAGTCTAATGTCTCAAATCATGTTGGAAGGAAGGTTACGTTTGTGACTGTTGGAAATGTGTGTTTACGGTAGAACAAAGTTTTGTAATTTTACTTACTTCAATTCAATTCAAAAATACTTTATTAATCCCAGAGGGAAATTGATTGCTGTAGTAGCTCAGAATAATAATAATAATCAAGTCATCAAAGAGTTATTGTATATTACAATGGCTGTTGGCAGGAAGGATCTCCAGTAGCGGTCAGTGTTGCAGCCAAACTGAAGAAGCCTCTGACTGAAGACACTCTTCCGTTGTCAGACAGTCTTGTGAAGAGAATGCTTAGGGTTGTCCATCATTTTCTTTATTCTCTGGAGAATCCTTCTTTGCATTATCTCCTCCAGTGGTTCCACAGTCGTCCCCAGAACAGAACCAGCCTTTTTTATTAGGCTGTTGAGCCTTTTCAGGTCCCTGCTTCCGATGCTGACCAGCACCTGATTTATCATTGCCCATGATGATCGATGGAAGAGATGGTTTGCATTTCCTCTTTCTCTGTCTCCGTTTTGCTCCCGCTTTGCACCCACGCTTCTCGCGTTTTAGCTCATTTGGGATTTGTGGCTTCAGTTAAGGTATTATTTCAACCTTTCCAATGTTAATCAGCTGCTCCCGGTTGTAAACCAGCTTGTTACCATGGTTACGCATCATAACAAATGCTCAAAAAGTAAAAAAAAAATAGCAGTAAAAATCCTCTAAGCTTCACAGCACCAGAAACAGAAAAGTAAAATGCCAAAAAATACAGTTTTTCTTGAGAAACTAGAAGAAAAAATGTCCAAAAAAGGCTAAACTTACATATAGTCAACGGAGCTACTCCAACATGCAGCCACCCAGAGCAGCGCGGTTCCGGAATGTTCAGTTTTACTTGGTTTTTCAATCAATCTTAACAGTGGTGGCTCCAGAAATGGTTTTCTGCAGGTGCTATGAAGGAGCTAGTCTTTTTATTGAGGGTGCTATGAAGGAAGTGGTCATGCGTACCTATCGTTCTCGAAAACACCTTCGACACTAGCAGATACACATGCGTGCACAAACCCTCAAAAACACCTGAAACAATCATTAATACACATCACAAACATATGAACAATCGCTGACTTTTCCATGAAATCATAAACACATACAGCCACACAGAAACCCATCTATAGTGTTGCAAGGTTAGCTAACACTAGCGTTAGCGTTTCCAGCGGCAAAACCCTGGACTGCTGCGGCGGTTGAGGGTTGACTCTCTACATCCAGATCCGTAGGTTTTTGTGGGTCTGAGATCACTTCCATTCGTTTCTGACTGAACCCGTGGAAATGTGGGCAACAAAAACGATCCATTTTACCACTAGCTCTACCTTTCACTCGTTCGCAGGTGGAAAATGAGGTCAAAGGTTAACATCAATTTCCTGTTTTGGTTTAAGTTTTAACTATCTATATGATAATTTACTGATTATTTTGTTTTGTATGTTAAATATTATCACATCCACACGTTAAATTAAAATTAAATTGTAAAAAAAAAAATCTAATATTTACTTGGGGGTGCAATGACTAATCCAGGGGTAGCTATAGCGCCCCCTAGCGCCACCCTGGTGCCGCCACTGAATCTTAAAGAGCAAGTCACCCCCAAATCAACTTTTATTTTTCTGATAAACTATATAAATGTGTGTTTAATTGTGCTGCAGCCACGTGTAGTCAACAGTTTTGCACTTAAGTGCATTTTAGTTAAAATTTTTAATTTTCTGCCTAAAACTGTCAGTGTTGTGCTGTAGTCAGGTAAAAACTCTGCACTGCATTTGAATTTAAATCTGCCATCGCTATTGGCTGAGAGGTTCCCTAGAACGTTAGCTGGTACCATATGATGTCACAATGTCGTTGTGAGCCTGTGTGTGTGTGTATTTGTTAGCAGCTCTGCCCCCTCGGTCTGCTAGGCAACAGCATTTGTTGCATTTTTCAAACAGGAAGTGTGAGTTGAGTAAGAATCTGGTAGACGGTGACTTGCTTTTTAAGTTCTTACTTTGAAGTTTTTTAAGTAGAAATTAAGAATAATTGTCATGAACAGGTCTGGGGGAATAATACTATCAATAAAACTGGCCGTGGAGCAATTATGCCGCCACAGCCCTGTCTACTGTACCATGTAGATAACTATGATAAGTACATACTTGTAGTTATCATCCATTTATCGTTATCGAGTACTCCTCAGTATACTGCGAGACTGAATTTAGCACTAACCTGTGTGTTGTTGAGTTATGTTTATTAGCTAAAATAAGCTAATAAAGAATGCTGGTTGCCAACTCATATTGTGTCTTCTGCAACGTGACATGGTGTCAGGAGCGGCCAGTTGAGTAAACCGTGGTCATGGCGAAGTTCAGACCTCAGGAGCAGTTAGATTTTTCCCAGCCGGTGGAGTGGCCAGTTTGGCGTCGCAGTTTCGCTCGGTTCAGAGTGGCGTCAAAGCTTGACTGGGAGCCTGGAGATGTACAAGTTAGCCCTCTTCTCTACGCCAGCAACCAGCCACTTGGGCCAGCTCCTCCCGGGGAATCCCTAGGCGTTCCCTGGCCAGACGAGTTACATAGTCCCTCCAGTGTGTCCTGGGTCTTTCTTTAGGTCTCCTCCCGGTTGGACATGCCTGGAAAACATCACCAGGGAGGCGTCCAGGAGGCATCCTAACCAGATGCCAGAGGCACTTCAACTGGCTCCTCTTAATGTGGAGGAGCAGCGGGTCTACTCTGAGCCCCTCTTGGATAATAACCGAGCTTGTCACCCTATCTCTAAGGGAGAGTCCCTGCGGAGAAAACAAAACTCGACTACTTGAATCCACAAGCTCATTCGGTCACTATCAAAAGCTTGTGACCATAGGTGAGGACAGAAACGTAGATCGACTGGTAAATCAGGATTTCCACGTTCTGGCTCAGCTTCTCTTCACCATGACAGACCGGTTCAACACCTGCATCACTGCAGACGCAGCACCATTCTTACAGTACATATTGCACCTTTAAAGAATTTCTTGGGACATTTTGAAGTGTGTTTAACAGTTATAAATAATCATCTTGTGGATAGCTCCCCGAACAGCATCAGTTTGGATAAATAGCATTTACATCCAACAAGATTGGCTAGTCCGAACACACAAATCCAGAATCGTGCCAATACCATTCTGATAAACTTTGATCTTCTAAATTTCACATGGCAGAAAAATCCATTTAAAGTATGAATTAAACAAAAAAAAAAGCAAATAAAAATAAATGGCTCTTTCTGATTTAATCATGTAAATTCTTTACTTTGTAAAAGGTCTTGCAGCGCTTCGAAGACAGGGAAGTGAGGAACTGCCTGCAGATGCCAACCATGGACAGACTGACTCTAACCAAACACTTCTATCTCTTTCCGGGCCTCGTGGACACAAACCAGTAGCACCACCTGCTTTTGTTAACATTGAGCCAATGTTTAAAATATATGACCAACAATTTTTTTAATTAACAATGAGCTTTTGTCTTTTTATTAACCGATTTCACATTCTGTAACTGCTCAGTTTTATTCACATTTTAATTTGAAATCTTGATATTTATTTTTTTATGCTGTCATTTGATAAAATGTCTTTTTTCCAGATGACATGTTTTTTAAAAACCAAACAGAATTTTAGACAAACTGTAAAAAAGATTTTGACACCAAACAGAAAAAACACAGAGAGGATTAAAGAACTATTGATTTGGTTTGTGTTGAGCCTCAGGTTTTTGAATTAAAATGTTTTATTTTTGTTTTAAACGATTTCCAGGTAATTTCTCAGCAGCAAACCAGTGACCAGGATAAAATCCAACACATCTCCCAGAGAGGCAAACTGTTAAAATCCAGACTCTGGGTTAAAAGTCCATGCATGGCCAAACCAGCTGAATGATGGTTACCTGGAAGCTGTATCAGTAAGAGGAACCTCTTTGATGGAAGGAGATCAGCCTCTATGTACCTAGCACCCTCGGCCCATTAATTGGCAGCAGGTGCGAGAGATCATGTACTTTATTTTTTTCAAACATACTTATCCTATGTTGTCTTCTTGAGGCGCAACTTAAATTTGTTTTAAGCAGAATGGATTCAGTCCTAAACTCAAACTTTATTTATTTATATAGCACTTAATCATGCAATACATGCAACTCAAAGTGCTTAACAAATTAAAAAGGCCCCGCATACCCACATTCCCTCTCATCCCCAATAAAACCCCCTTCACAACACTCATCCTCCGGCACACACACTCACACACACGCGCCCCCCCCCAATAGAAAAAACACAATGGACTGAGTTCAGATGAGCCAGACCAGCTAAGTAAGATAAGGAAACACCATCAGGGGAGCCATCCGCCCCGACAACAGCAGATCCACAGCAGCAGCCGAGGCACCGACACAGGGCGCCCAGGGCAGGGAGGGCGGAGACCCCCTATCTCCACCCAGGCACACCCGGAAAGCACCCAGGCCGCCACAGCCGGCCACCGCCCCCGTGGCAGAGGGCTCCCGCAGAGGAAACACTGGAAAAAGGTTGAATTAAGGTTAAAATATAAAATAATAAGAGCTAAAATGAGAATTGTAATATGAAAAGTTAAATAGATACTAAAATAATGTTGATCATGAATCTGTGGTAAAAGCAACAACTCTGTTTAAAAATAGCACGTATAAAGAAAGAATACATAAAATAAATAAATAGATAAATAACCTAATTAATTAATTTATTTAAAAAGTGATAGTAATCAGTTAAAAGCTAAGCTACAAGAAACATTCAGTAGTGGCAGTTTGCACCTCATTACAATCTGTCTTTAACTGATGTTTGTCCAATCCTTGCAGCCTTGTGGAGGTGTAATACTCTTTACTGCCAGTAGAGGGTAGCAAGACACTTGGCAACCTACACGCACGCACGAACACACACGCACACACACTGCTCATTTAACTGTTTTTATCAGGCTGGTGTACTGCACAAGAACATCAAGTACGTGAAAATGATATACAACAGTTATAAGTCCGTGGAAAAGGCTTCTTCAAATATTTATCATCTTTCGGCTCATGCCGCTGCTTTTGGCAGCAAACTTCAATAACGTTTATGTGGAACAGAATTATTTTTATTGATGCAAATGACAAGACAAACCTTCAGTCACCCAATGTAGGTTTTAGTATTACACCTAAAAACAGTACACTGAAGTATGTACAAGGCCTGAAGGTACAACGGCGCGTGTGGAAGTACGTAAATACAAATTCTGGATGCAACATAAAATTTAACTTCACAAAAATACGATCTTATGAGTGTGAGCAAAGCCTTCGATTCACTATTTACAGCAGATCTGTTAAAATAATCTATATTTGTTCATAGACATTTCCATCTATTTTATAGTACATTTAATTTGCAAGCTTGTTAGAAACAGATATTCATATAGATCCAGATCCATATTTTTATAAATCCACTCAGAGAAAAATAGTTTTATTTGCTTAGAATATAAATATTTATATGCAAAAAGCTACCTAAACGATACAGTGAGATGTTTTAAGTTAGACGGGACCCAGAAGGTAGCATGTAGGTTTGACTTTACAGTAGTACTAGTAAGTGAAAGATGAACCACTCGTACAAATCTAACAGCCAATTCACTCACACACTCATGCACAGAATAAGACCTGCAAATACACACGACTACAACCAAATGATGACACCTCGTTTTTCCTCTGCTAACAGTGTTTCCAATGCTGACACATAAATACATTCTTTCAGGAGACAGACAAACGTCTTCCATTTGGGTACAGATTGCACATTTTCCCTTGACAAATAAAACAAAACAACTTAGAGATCTACTTAGCTTTGGTACAGACTTTTGTAAAAGGGGAAACTTTTGTGGGTTTACTTTATTAGTGCAAGAAGAGGTTAGCTTTGATACAACAGCTAAATGAACTCTAAAAAGATCTGACGTTCAGATGTTCTGTGACGGACGAGTTTTCGTTAACTGAAAGGACAGCAGCTGCCTCAAACAGGAAGTAAAGTTCCAAGTGTGACGGGAAGCTAGAGCGCCATCAGAGAGTTGAGCCTGAAACCTTTGCGTCAGGGAGAAAGGCTGTAACTGTTTTGTAACCCTGCGCCCGTCGGATCATCTCCCGGGTCTCTCCGTTCAGTTCCATCAGCTTGACAGAAATTTCTGTCAGGTCCTGCTTTGAGCCCACCAAAGCAAACGTTCCCGTTTGACCCAGCGTTTGATGTCTGAAGTAAATGTTCAGCAACGTTTGAATCTCGTCCTCCAAGGGGCTGCCAAAGATGTCTTTTGGCCATATTGTTCTGCCCAAAAAAATAAAGATAGTAGAAACAGATAAACACATCGGCTAAATATTTAAAGAGGCTCTAGAACAACTTTTTTACTTTCACAATTGGAAACGTTTTTTTGAGCCAAACACGACACCATAATAAAGCCCTACAATGGAAAGATTTGTTTAACACCCCACCCCTCACTCCATTGGCCTGGACATGAATATTAAATAAGCTGTGCGCTGATTGGCTGGTTTACCTTAATGATTCTATGACACTGCCTGAAGCTGCAGACTACTGTAAAGTATCCAGATAACAACATGAAAGCTTTGGATCTATTTAGCATTCATTCGATATCTGGATATTTCCAGTTCATTCTGGAACATTCCATATGTGCTCCTAAAGGAAGTTAGCAGTGGCACAGGATAGCATTAGCAGTAGCTTGGGCTAGCAGAAGCAGTAGCTCAGGGTAGCGTTAGCAGTAACTTGGACTAGCATTAGCAGTAGCTCAAGTTAGCATTAGTAGTATCTTGGGCTAGCATTAGCAGTAGCTTGGGCAAACTTTAGCAGTAGGTCAGGCTAGCATTATCAGCAGCAGCTTGAGCTAGCATTATCAGTTGCTTGGGCTAATGTTAGCAGTAAATCAGGTTAGCATTAGGAGTAGCTTGGGCTAGCATTAGCAGTAACTTGGACTAGCATTAGCAGTAGCTCAAGCTAGCATTGGTAGTGTCTTGGGCTAGCAGTAGCAGTAGCTTGGACAAACTTTAGCAGTAGCTCAGGCTAGCATTGTCAGCAGCTTGAGCTAGCATTATCAGTAGCTTGGGCTAGCATTAGTTGTAGCTTGGGCTAATGTTAGCAGTAAATCAGGCTAGCATTAGCAGTAGCTTGGGCTAACATTTTCAGTAGCTTTGTTTAGCATTAGCATAACTTGGACTAGCGTTAGCAGTAGCTCAAGCTATCATTAGTAGTATCTTGGGCTAGTATTAGCAGTAGCTTGGACAAACTTTAGCAGTAGCTCAGGCTAGCATTATCAGCAGCTTGAGCTAGCATTAGCTGTAGCTTGGGCTAGCATAATCAGTAGCTTTGGCTAGCATTAGCAGTAACTTGAGACACTTGTATAGCTCAGCTTAGAGTCAAAGGACTCCAAAGCGCTTTACACTACAGTGTATCATTCATCCATTCACACACTGGTGGTGATGAGCTACATTATAGCCACAGCTGCCCTGGGGCGCACTGACAGGGGCAAATTTTAAAAGAAGGACTTCTGTTTCGCACCTGCATTCACGAATGTAGTGAATGGCTGCCAGGTACTCATTGTTCCTTAAAGCCTCCAGGATGGCCTGAACTGCAGCCTCAGAGGAGCTCATGATGGTCTCAGAACGGGAGCCCTCACAGGCAGAAGGGTCATCATTCGTCACCAAGGCCGCCGCTACTCTCAGGCTGCTCCTCAGTTCGTTTAGTTCTCCTGACATAATTGTAAGCTAAAAGCAGAGATGCATTTAGGTGAATAAAAATGGACATAAAGGGATCAGCGAGTAGCAGCTTTCAAAATAAAAGCAGATTAAATAAGACTGACTCACCTCGGGAAAAGAGCTGATCGTGTGGACCTGTTCGATCAGCTTACAGTAGGACTGGAAGAGCAGCAGCAACTGAAAGTGGAGTTTGTAGAGTCTGCGACAGAGCTCCAGTTGCTAGAAGCAAAGGAAATGTTTTTGATTACTCTCTAAATTGTGCTAAAATTCACTCAATAATCTATTTAAAACTAGGATGAATGCAACATTGGTTTTTAGGAGGAGGAAAGAAAGAAGCCACATCAAACTTACAGCCAGATATTCCATTTGCTACCAAGCCAACATGGCAGAAAAGGGGTTAAGAAAGAAGAAAATTAAAGGCATGCAGCAAGTTAATGGTTTCCATTCAGAAAAGGGTGAAAAGTTTTTTTCCACATGCGGTGTTTAAGAAAACATAATGATGGTTAAACGAGTAAAAAAGACCACAAAGAACAAACGTTTTTCCTGTTCATTCATTTTTGTTTCTGTTGCCTTGCAGAGTTGAAGTCATTCACATGAAAGAAAAGAGGTGCACACAGACTAGGAGGTAATAATTGTGACATGCACCAATTTAAGTTTGACGGAAACTGAGAGAAAAAAGCTGTAAAACTCACAGATCTACAGTAGCTTACAGAAATCGTAAGGCAGAAAGTGAAAGCATGAAAGACCCGGTTTTCCGTTATTCTGGTAAAAAGCAATTTGTACGTTTTTTGCACAACGGGCTGAATGCATCAGGTCAGCATAAGAACAAGCTATTTTTAAACGATCCTGGACAAATGCATGCCCGTTATTTAATAAATAAACAATAAAATCACGTTTTACCTTTTCCTCGTCCTCCATCGGCTGGCATGTGATCACCGAGCCTCCAGGAGGGAAGGTGGCCTCACAGCTGTTCAACCACTGTGTGAATAACAAACACAACTTAATCCCAAACCAAGTAAATATTAACACACACTCACATGAACAGTATGTATTTTACAGTGAGAGCTGCCTCCTTCCTGTTGTTATAGGTGTCCAGGTACTCTTGAAGCTCCAAAACGCTGAATTTAATTTTTTCCAGGAGGCCGCAAGACACGATCTGCAGAAACAAACAGTGAGATTTGTTGCTTCACTTCCTCCGACGACCGCTGACATGCCGGGTAAAGAATGTTCCTTACAGTGTCAGCATCAATAAACAGAGTCGGACACTCGGAGCAGGACGACAGCATCTCAGACGACCTCAGAAACTTCAGCCCTAATCCTCTCAAGCCATCGCCCAGATAGCTCACAGCATCACAGTTCAAGGAGCAAAATTTAGTCTGGATTATCTGCAAACCAAAGAACACGCAGACTAACTTTCAACTAAAATGTTCGCATTCTTCATGATCTTGATTTATTTCAGACGTTGCCATGAATGAATCTTGGTGGATAATAACACTAATGACATCCAAGGAACGTCCCATTAGCTCTTGGCAGACCTCAGATAACTAATCCTGTTAACCCTTTGGCTTAATTAATCAACATGAGCCGGAAATCTGCTGTTCGGACTTAGGGAAGACTTGGAAACGTGTTTTTTAAGGTATTTAAGTGTCTTTGACGATTTGAATGAAAACTTTAGGAATCAAAGAATTCAACTGATATCTAAATTCTAGAACTAATTTCATGTGAGTGACCACCTGACGATTTAGAGACGCTGAAGTGACATTAACTTAGTGGCGAGATTGAACGTTAAAGAATGCGTTTTAGGTTTTGTGTGTGTGTGTGTGTGTGTGTGTGTGTGTGTGTGTACCTGCAAATGAGTTGTGGGATCGGGGTGTCACTGTAACAATTGTTTTTATATTTGTGGGGAAGGAAGGGAATATGGTCGGGATGAGCCGGATACCGGTACGGATAAAGCATTTTTGACGAGTACGAGCATGAAACGAGTAAAACTCGTAAATATCTGTAATCGTGCTGAAGAAAAATCCTCATTGGGTAACTGACTGTCTTCACGCTCTGTGATTGGCCAGTCAAATAGAGCGCCCGCCCCTCCCTACACACAAAACTCTGCAGCCGGGAGCTCACAGCTCAGTCCGCGTCCGGTCCATCCACACACACACACACACACACACACACGCACGCACGCATGCACGCACGCACACGTAACGTACGTGAAGCATCTGACGACAGCTGAAAATGGCTCGTGCTGCGTCAGTCACTGCCTCCGCTCCAGTCGTTTTTTTTTCCTCTCTCTCTCTCCTCTTCCTCAGGATCCACTCCCTCTTTCCTATTCACTCTCTCTTTTTCTTAACATTTTTTAATCACAATTGTCTATTTTTTGCTCATTTTAAATATATTTTAATCATTTTTTCTATTTTACATGTTTGCTGGGGCAGCAGTAGCTCAACAGGTTAAGTGGGTTGTCCAGTAATCGGAAGGTTGCAGGTTCGATCCCGGCTCCGGACAGAGAATTCTGCTGTTGTGTCCTTGGGCAAGACACTTAAGCCACCTTGCCTGCATGCTGGTGGTGATCGGAGGGACCGGTGGCGCCTGTGCTCGGCAGCCTCGCCTCTGTCAGTGCGCCCCAGGGCAGCTGTGGCTACATCGTAGCTCATCCCCACCAGCGTGTGAATGCGTGTGTGTGAATGGATGAATGATACACTGTAGTGTGAAGCGCTTTGGAGTCCTTACACTGACAGGCGCTATACAAATGCGGGTCATTTATCATTCATCATTTTGTTTTTGTGAAGCGCCCCGTGATTTTTATCTTGAGAGGCGCTATAGAAAAGATCTTTTCTTCTCTCTCTCTCTCTTAATTCATGCATTAATGCTCTGATTTTATTGAAAAACTTGTTCTTATGTTTATGTTTATGTATTTAGCAGACGCTTTTGTCCAAAGCGACTTACAAGTGATAATCGGCATTTTGCCCTTGAGGCTAACAACAATAGTAACAACAACAAATTGACATCAGTCATGGAGAGGAGGGAACAAGGAGTGGACAGTAGAGAGGGGGGGGGGACGGGTGCAGGGAGGGTGCTAGTTAAGAAGATGCTCTCTGAAGAGCAGGGTCTTAAGGAGTTTCTTGAAAATAGAAAAGGAAGCCGCAGTTCTGGTAGTGTTAGGAAGGTCATTCCACATTTGTGGAATGATTCATGAGAAGAGTCTGGATTGTCCTGAGCGTGGTGTAGGCACTGCTAGCCGACGATCCTGTGATGACCGGAGCGGCCGGGCCGAGACGTAAGCCTTTGCAAGAGGATTCAGGCAGATGGGAGCCGTACCGTCTCGGACTTTGTATGCTAGTGTTAGCAATTTGAATTTGATGCGTGCTGCTAGCGGTAGCCAGTGGAGCTCAATGAACAGAGGGGTGACGTGTGCTCTTTTTGGCTGATTGAAGACCAGACGCGCCGCTGCGTTCTGGACCATTTGAAGAGGTTTCACAGTACAGGCTGGAAGACCAGTTAGAAGAGCATTGCAGTAGTCGAGGCGGGAGATGACAGTAGATTGCAATGCTGTTCTGTAATAGTTTCTTTACTATTGTGATCAAAAACATTTAATCTCAACTCTGAGGCTGCTCTGTAAATAGTTTTCAAATAAACAATACACATAGCAACTTCTGATCAGACCACACCCACTTCCAGTTAAATTACACCCACTTCCGGGTTAGGCCACGCCCACTCCGAGTACAGATACAGATGCAGATAATTTAGATGGTTGAACAGATACAGATAGTGGTGTAATCGCTCATCCCTAGACTATGGGTTATATGGGGAAACCGTAACCCAACCCTACAAATAAAGTTTGTTTGATTGATTAAAACATAAAGCTGGAGTTTTTTCTGACAGGGCACCATTTAGAGGTGAAAACTGTACTGAACCTCAAGCCCCTCTCCCTACCTCCATGATTACAGCCAAAAGCAACGCCTCTCGCTTGTGAACGAGCCCATCTAGCCAGGTGAACTCAAACAAGTTGTTTTACAATTGTTTATTCTTTGTTATTGTCATGTTATGCTGTTTATTCGTGTGTTTATTCAAATTTAAAGACTTGTCTGTGAGAAAACGTTGCAAACTGCATCAATCTAGATAATTCCAAATAGCCGTGCACGCTGTGTGATTGACATCTGTACATAGGCGGCTGTCTAGTGGCTAATGCTGAGCAGCGCTGCATGGGGCTCTACGGGACGGAGGAGGGCTTAGCAAAGATAACCGACGTATTGTCTACACCACAGCTATTCAATTCTGGGCCCTGAGGGCTGGTGTCTGGCATGTTTTAGTGGTTTCTCTGCTCCAACACACTTGATTCAGTGGTTGAATCACCTGTGCAGCAGCTCATCAGGCTCTGCAGAAGCCTGTTAATCACCTACTAATTGAAATCAGGTGTGTTGAAGCAGGGTTAAAACCAACACGTGCTGGATACCGACCCTTGTCAACACATTATATCATGTTGGAGTGTAAGATTGTCACTTTTACAGACTTCTAACAAAAATAAAACAGACACAATTCCTGAAAAGGAGGAAAGCTCCGAATTGCTGTATTAAAACGACACTAATCATGGTCATATTAGATAATTATTTGTAGTTTTTCCAGCTTTTTAATCTATTTATTAATGATGAGACATTTTAAAACCAAATAAATAACTTCACATTTTCTAGTCCGTGTTAGTGCAACTGCATCTGTAGCACTTCTCCCCTTATTCTTCTGTCTGCAGGTTGGACTTTCTGTGCGCTGGGCACCGTTTGCCCTTGCCACAGCTTCTTTTCAAACCAACGACACGGTACAGACCTGAAAAAGGGACGAGAAGACTTGAAACGTGTAGACTGCACAGGACCCGTCTGAGTCTGACACCAGCTGGTTGACGTGAGTCCGCCAGGCCTCCTCCGCGTCATCGCACGCCGCCGGTTGGAAAGCTGCCAGGATGGCAGAGAAGAAGGGAGACGGTGGAGGCGAGGAGCGAGACTCCAGCATGTCCTCTCTGCTCTCTTCAGCAAGACTGAACAACAACAAAGACTTAATAAAAACATTTTATCTGCGTGGGTTGACTGGACTGAAACCGGGTACCTGGGTACGCAGCTGTCATCACTGTAAGCTGGGTCCACTGTCAAACTGTCCTCACACTGACAGTCAAGTAGTTCACTGATGGAGAGAGGGATGTCCACCTCGGGGACACTGATGTCTTCATCTTCTTTTGATGACTCATTCTGAACAAAAACAGGAACACGAAGGACTTTAGTGAAATGTGAAATGAATAAAAATCTTAATAACTGAGCCAGCATGCATGACATGATCTATAATGCGCTCAGTTGTCTTAAATAAATAAACTGATGACTGTGTGGATTAGGCTAAGGCACTAACCTTTTACTGGGCCGCTACGGAGACTCCTTTTGATGTTTTCATTGGTTTGGTCAGTTCAGTGTGTGCAAATTGTGCCGATTCAATTGATTTTTAGATGAATGTAACTTCAGCTAGCATCCTGGCTTTGCGCACCTTTGTGCTTTCAGACAGGCAATGTGTAAACCCTTCCTGATCACCTGCATGCCGAGTATTTAGTTGCTGCTCTGAGCCAGCCACACAGAAGCGACAGGTATACACATTGCCTTCAACAGACAAACATGAATGTGTTGGGATTTTTTTAGTGCAGGCCAAGACCCTCGTAACACTCCCAAGAGAGTCTCTGCCACAAGCTAAAGAGAAGCGTAAACTAACCCAGAGCCCTGAAAAAATCGGATCGTCTCCAGGTTTTAGTACAGTCGCCTTTAGCATGCACAAAAAAAAAAATAAATAAATAAAAAAAAAAAAAAATCAGCTCACGTTCCTCTAGAGCATGGACGTAATTTGGGGGGGGACAGGGGGTACATGTCCCCCCCACTTTTTCCAAAGTCAAGTTTGACCCCTGCACTTTTTACCATCCTAAAACAATGTTACACTATATTAAATTGACACTGGTTGAGCTCTAGGACCAAGTGGAAAACAACCGTTTGTGTTGAAGCCTGTTTCCCATTAGAGCATACCGTAAAGATACCCCCCCCCCCCCCCCCGTGCCCCCCCCCCCCCCCACTTCTAAAGTGAAAATTACGTCCATGCTCTAGAGACAAGAAATGTAGATGTGGTCATGCAAATAATAAGTAACATAAACTAAATCTACAGCACAGTTAACAGTCAAGATACAACACAAAGGCAAGATGCAGCAGATTGGCTCCTATTTAGCAATGTTAATATAGGATACCAGTATGGAATGGCGATAGGAATGAGGAGTTCCCAGAATCTCAGACACTCTAAAGCCCTTTTTCACCTGCTGCTGCGAGTCCTCTGACACCTGGGCCTCGAAACTGGGATTACTGGTGCTCAGAGGGGTGGAGTCTGCTGAAGTTCTATCAAAAAGGGCAGAGGAGGCGTCCATGCTGCCGATCTCTGCTGTTGGAGAAAGGCTGATGCTCTGAAACGAGACAAGAATGATCGTAAAAATCTATCCTCAACATTCCTGCCAGTGCCGTCGGAGCCAGAACTGCTGGCATGCCAGAGACAGAACAGCAGCGGAATGACAACTGTGTGGACATATGGACGTCCATCTGTCTCCACGGCTTCTGTAAACCTTCGCTAAAACCGTCTGAGGACTACTTTAGTCATCAGAGGAAAGGGAAATAAACGTAACAAAGATTTAAAACATCTACAGATTTAGGCCAAACATCATTATTACAAGCTAAAAAATTGTGTTATAATCAAAACAAAGATTATAGGTTGGAAAAAAACAACAACACACAGCTTTCAAAAGATCTCCTTAAGACTAGAAGTCACTGGAACATGAAGGAGTGAGCTCACGAGCTGGGAGTGGGAGAGTATCTGGCTGACGGTGAGGGAATCCTCCTCAGACAACTCGTCTGAGTCTTCGCGGGTAATCTTGCTGAGACTCGTCATGCTGCTGGACAGCTGGCTGCCCTCCAGAGGCTGCAGGTCACTTTGGTCCAAACTGTCCACAGAGTGTCGGCGCACACCCCAGTTAAAGTTGTCCATAGTCTCTCCCTGTAGAAGCGAAAGGCTTCGTGTTAAAGAGCTCAAAGATGGAGGCAACAGCTAGATCTGATGTTTCAGCACAACCATGCAGCACCAAGATCATGAGACGCAACACTGAGTTAAGAATTCATCAGACTTTAGATGTAGGAGGCTAAGATCCTCCAAGCCTGAGACTTTTGTTTGAAAAGCAGAGAAACTTGTTCAAACTAAAAATGTTGGCTAACATCCTCATTCCTGCAAAGATCCAAACCAAAGGGTCAAAGTTGGGAAAGACTTCCTGAGGCTGTTCAAACCTACAAATGAGGAAAAACAAGAAACAAACGTAAAAAAAAAAAACTCTCTCTCATGTTGTGTCAGACCATAAACTTGTAGTTTGATTTGGAAATTAAAACGATGGAGAATTCCTGTGATGAAAGATGTTTGAACTTTGCAATCTGAGCAGTGGCGGATCTAGGATTTTTCTGAGTATGGGGCCAAATATCAGTCCAACATCCTTACCATGCCCCCATAAAACTGGTATGAAAATGAAGCCAACACAGAAGTGACATAAATTGCAGTTCCACCCTCATCCACTAGGGGCTGGTGTCAGAAGCGAGCAAATCCTCATTGACTCCCATGTTAAAAATACCAATTTCACAGCAGAAATAAACATGTTTACAGCCTGGTACCAAAACATGTTTTAGGTTTAAATGATCTAGTTTACACTCATGACAACTCTGAGGGGGGTGAATTTTTTCTCTCACTCTTCTGTTTAAGTGTATTAAAAGCCTAAAATTCTGTATAATTAATGAGCTTCAGACCCATGTGACCGCAGAGCTAGCTCCGAAGAAAGGCCTCAGCCTGAGCCTCGGTCTCGACTGACAACTGTTCCGCCATTTTCAGTCTCTCAACTTAGACCATTAGTTGTGCCGTTTGTGCGTTCTTTTTGGATATTATTTGTGCAATTGTTGGACAAAATGACTTGCTGTGGTATTAATTGCACTAATAGAGCATCCAAGGAGTCTCCACTTCATTTTTCTCGGTAAGTAAAATTATATTTATGTATTTTAGGTCACTGCCGCTCTTGCACTAGCTGAGCTTGGATTTTAACATGTACTGTTTAACCATGAAATTTAAATGTAATAGGGTAAAACCCAGCGCATTTAACATTACACTGCATTTTTGAAAATGGGTTGAAATATAACATGTTGGTGGAGCTGGGTTCCGACTTTCGGTATGGTCCCCTCCCCTCAGCGCAACTCGGCGCATCTCAGATCGCGGCGGCGCTTGTCTGGTGTGCGACTGCCGGCTTGTGGAGCTCTCGGGAGACCTCTGTGTTCCACCCGGTTTTACCCAGCCGTCAGCCCGGCGTATCTCTGACTCAGAAGCTCCGGTGTTGCGCACACTAAACTCCGGTTGTAGCTAGGTAGCTACCTCCGTTAGCTTACCTCCCACCTCCACGTTAGCTTTGGGTTAGCTTGTAGCTACATCGCTTCAATTCGACGGGTGTCGTCATTTGATCCCAACCTTACAGCCCCACCCTCAACTCCACCTGTTTTCCCTTTAATGGAATTGTCTGGGCTTGACGGAACCTGTGACACGGTCAAAATGGCGGTGGTGGCCACCTCCCGATTTGGCTTAAAATCTTATTATTGGAGTCTACGGACACGCATTGTCCAATATATATGTCGATGATCCTTACACAAGATTCCAGACTGGATGGACTCATTAGCGACAGTAGTGTTTGGACTTGGAATCGCACCCACCCATAATCTGATCATTGAGCAAAAGACAGACGAGTGACAGGACAGGGGCACTTCAGGGGGTCAACACCCCGCCAATGAATCTGAGGAGGTTTTTTTGCAAAACTCTGCAGCTCAGAAAAAATTAAACATGAAATTCCCCAACCAAATTTTATTCAAAATTGTTTTCATTTTTAACAAAGATCCTGTTATAAACAGTTGTTTCTTTTAGCTAACAGAAAAATCTAGATGTTGTCAAAAGTAGAAGTGTTTGAGCCCTCCGTCATTAGTTAATGCATTTTGTTTAGTTTGACACTTCGTTATGTGTATTAAATAATAGTAATAACTATTTTTTAATCATAATTTGTTTTCTCTTCAAATACGGAATAAAATCAAGAGTGTGATGCTGACTTATTTAAGAAGAAAGGGAAATTTTGTTTTTTTATAGTTGTGAAATAAAAAAAACAAACAAAAAACAAAACAAAAGGGTACTTGTTACTATAATGTAAATAAATAATGCATTTGTTAAATTAAGAGCTTGCAACAGTATAAATGGAACAATATGACCATTAAGTTTAGGTATGAAAGAACTGGTTTTAGCAGTTTTTTTATGAAAAACAGTGAATTTAGAGAAATTGTCCAATAAAATTCATATTCTTGTATCACTGTGGGATCAAATGTTTATTAAATGTAAAAGTTGAGATCTAATCGAATGGAAACTTGGTCTAAATATCTTTAATGGTCAAAACATTCAAAGAAACAGAAGTAATGTTTATGAAAGTGAAAATAAAGATGTGATTTTCCATTCAAATGCTATAAATCTGCTGTGTGAGTTGCACATGCAAGAACTTTTTGTATTTTTGCCATCAGAGAGGCAGTGATGTCTTTATCTGCACAACAGTAGCAAGTGCAAACACCGCTAAACTTACCTGTAGCTCCTGGATAGCACAGATTGGGAAAAAACAAGACAGAAACCACGTTACACAGAGTTTGTGGGCCTGACTCGCACTCACTGATGCTTTTGATTTACGAGCTTCTCATTAAAATCCTAGTCAGGACAACTCACCTCGCCGTCTTCAAGCTCAACATCAAGAAAGTCGAAGTCTCTGAAAACCCGGAACTGTTGCTCTGAGGTGGAATCGTCCGTGTTTTCCAGTTCCCGCGTCCCATCGTCAGAGGACACCAGGCTGGGCTGGTGCTCCATGAGGTCCAGTTCTCCACAACTGGAGAAAATAACCTACAGAGAGAATTTACAACAGATGAAATTATTTCTGAGTGCAAAACGAAGTGTTTCTGAGAACAGTCAATTTCAAAAGTCTCTTTTATATTACCGAAGGATTTTTTGTGAGACCTACTTCCTGTCCACACAGAGACAGGACATGGACCAGCTTCTCCCGCGTTCTTTTCTGCAGGAGGTAAACAAAGAGATGCGATAATACAACTGTAGGCATCAACACCAGCACAGAAACACGACATGCATGTTTGATTATATTTCACATCATATAAAGATGCACCAACATCTATTTAAAGCTGGGAAGCATCTTTTAAAGTTTTTAAAGAAATTTAAAACTGCAAAAATGTGACGATCTGACCCCGTTCTATGATCTAAAGTTGGTAATCTTTATAATTTATATTTTCCTTAAGTCCCTCCCAGTCCTCCTTATTCTGCTCTTATTCCGCCTTTCCTGGGATCCACTGATTTCCCTCTTTCCTATTAATTATCTCTCTCCCTTTCCTTACTTTTTTGTTCTTTTCTCCTTTAAAACATATTTTTAAATCATTTAGAAATCTTTTTATACTTGAATTTTTCTTGTTTTAGTTTTTGAGATGCGCCTCGAGATTTTTATCTTGAGAGGCACTATATAAAAGATCTTCTTCTCCTTCTCCTTCTTCTTCTCCTTCTCCGTCTCCTTCTCCTTCCCCTTCTCCTTCTTCTTCTTCTCCTTCCTCTCCTTCTCCTTCTCCTTCTTCTTCTTCTCCTTCTCCTTCCTCTCCTTCTTCTTCTCCTTCTTCTCCTTCTCCTTCTTCTTCTTCTCCTTCCTCTCCTTCTCCTTCTCCTTCTCCTTCCTCTCCTTCTTCTTCTCCTTCTTCTTCTTCTCCTTCTCCTTCCTCTCCTTCTTCTTCTCCTTCTTCTCCTTCTCCTTCTTCTTCTTCTCCTTCTCCTTCCTCTCCTTCTTCTTCTCCTTCTTCTTCTCCTTCTTCTTCTTCTCCTTCTCCTTCCTCTCCTTCTTCTTCTCCTTCTCCTTCCTCTCCTTCTTCTTCTCCTTCTCCTTCTTCTTCTTCTCCTTCCTCTCCTTCTCCTTCTTCTTCTCCTTCTCCTTCTTCTTCTTCTCCTTCTCCTTCCTCTCCTTCTTCTTCTCCTTCTTCTTCCTCTCCTTCTTCTTCTCCTTCTCCTTCCTCTCCTTCTTCTCCTTCTTCTTCTCCTTCTTCTTCTTCTCCTTCTCCTTCCTCTCCTTCTTCTTCTTCTTCTTCTCCTTCTCCTTCTTCTTCTTCTCCTTCCTCTCCTTCTCCTTCTTCTTCTCCTTCTCCTTCCTCTCCTTCTCCTTCCACTTCTCCTTCTTCTTCTCCTTCTCCTTCCTCTCCTTCTTCTTCTCCTTCTTCTTCTTCTCCTTCTTCTTCTTCTTCTTCTCCTTCTCCTTCTTCTCCTCCTTCTTCTTCTTCTTCTCCTTCTTCTTCTTCTTCTCCTTCTCCTTCCTGTCCTTCCTCTCCTTCTTCTTCTTCTCCTTCTCCTTCCTCTCCTTCTTCTTCTCCTTCTCCTTCTTCTTCTTCTCCTTCCTCTCCTTCTCCTTCTTCTTCTCCTTCTCCTTCCTCTCCTTCTCCTTCCACTTCTCCTTCTTCTTCTTCTTCTCCTTCTCCTTCTTCTTCTCCTTCCTCTCCTTCTCCTTCTTCTTCTTCTCCTTCTCCTTCCTCTCCTTCTTCTTCTCCTTCTTCTTCTTCTCCTTCTCCTTCTTCTTCTTCTTCTTCTCCTTCTCCTTCTTCTCCTCCTTCTTCTTCTTCTCCTCCTTCTTCTTCTTCTTCTCCTTCTTCTTCCTGTCCTTCCTCTCCTTCTTCTTCTCCTTCTTCTACTTCTTCTTCCTCTTCTTCTCCTTCCTCTCCTTCTTCTCCTTCCACTTCTCCTTCTTCTCCTTCTTCTTCTTCTTCTCCTTCCTCTCCTTGTTCTTCTTCTCCTTCTCCTCCTCCTTCTTCTTCTTCTTCTCCTTCTTCTCCTTCTTCTTCTCCTTCTCCTTCCTCTCATTCTTCTCCTTCTTCTTCTTCTTCTTCTTCTTCTTCTTCTTCTCCTTCTTCTTCTTCTTCTTCTTCTTCTCCTTCTTCTCCTTCTTCTTCTCCTTCTCCTTCCTCTCCTTCTTCTTCTTCTTCTCCTTCTTCTCCTTCTTCTCCTTCTCCTTCTCCTTCCTCTCCTTCTTCTCCTTCTTCTTCTTCTTCTTCTTCTTCTTCTCCTTCTTCTTCTTCTTCTTCTTCTTCTTCTTCTTCTTCTTCTTCTTCTTCTTCTTCTCCTTCTCCTCCTCCTTCTTCTTCTTCTCCTTCTCCTTTACAGCAGAATGAATCATTTACATGGGGTGTTTCTTAATGTCAAGGAACCTTGCCTTGATGTCTTGGCCCCGCCCCGGTTGCTTAGGAGATACGTCATCAGGAGCCACCAAGACGTGTTCCAGTCGGTTCCTTCTTTTTTTATTAGTGTACATACAAACAAACTCTCACGGGAAAACAACAGTACAACATCGCTTGTGTTAAACCAGAATTTAGAACTAAAAGATCTCTTACAACTCAACAAAACAAAACAAAGTTCACACACACACACACACACACACACACACACACACACACACACACACACACACACACACACACACACACACACACACACACACACACACACACACACACACACACAAACTGCCATAAAGAAAAGAAGAAAACCAACATTTTCAAGGGCATATTCTCACTTATTTTGAAAAAAATTCAAGCAGTGTGAATCTATTCTATGAAAAATAAAAACGCTTTCTGGGCATCAAAGTTTTGACACGTTCTTTAAAAGGATAAGTACTGGTTCATATTTTCACATGTCTGGTCAGCATACTAGTGATGGGAATTCCGGCTCTTTTTAGAGAGCCGGTTCTTTTGGCTCAACTCACCAAAGAAGTTATCTAGTTGCTTAGTAGTTGCAGCTTCGGTGGCTAGCGGGTAGTAACTCGCTTATATTTTTTATTTAATAAACATATACACAATTTAAAAAGTAAAAGCCTCGTTATACATTTATATTGAAACTAATATATATGAAATATAACGTTATCTCCCGTCTCACGTGACGTTACGTGACCGCCGTGGAAGCCGCGGTCATGGGATGCAAGTCTGTTCCATTTAACCGTTTTCTTTGACCAAGGAAGGACCGTGTCCTCGTAAGCAAGGCGCCTGGCCTCGCAAGGCAAGCCTTGACATTGAGAAACACCCATGATCCTAGACAGTTGACCACTAGATTTATGTATCCCAAGAAGGAGAACATAAGGCATCCCAGTCCTCGACGTGCACTGTCAGGGTGACACAGTTAGTTTAGCACGCTAACGAAGAAGAAGCCTGAGGTTTGTACCAAAGTACCAAAGTTACAATTCCTCGACTGCCCTCTACTTCTCAGAGAAGATTCAAACAGTTTATAAGTCCTTGTTCACAACTCACCACGACACGTTTACGACAGCTGAATAGAATTTACATCGGAGACGTTTTTAAACGATGGAGGGAGCGTTGTGATCTACAAGAGCTCATAACTGGAGCTAAGTGATTAGCGTAGCTACATCCAACTATTGTTTTATTCCTCTCTTGCCTCTTTAGAACAGAAGGCCGTCAATTTGCTGCAACGCTGAGCCGGCAGTCGTGCCCTTTTTACAAAAGTTTACGTGATCGCAGTATAAAGGGGGTACGGGGGCAGTCTCAGTGCTGATGAGGACGTCCGTCTATCTTGGTCATGACTTTTAAAGGTGTCTTTCCTCCACAGTCTGTGACCTCCAGCTCTAATGGAGAGAAGCTTCTGGAGCTCGGCATCGCTCCAGTTCATCATCTCAGCTGGTTCTGTTGACAAAAGTGACTCCCCATCTGATCAGGACACCTCCTTCTGCTGCGCCGAGGCGTAATCTGCATTCACAAGTCTGGCATAGCAGTATTACTACCAAGCATGGCAACACACACGCGGCGAAATTCCATCGTCAAGCCGCCACAGAGCGTTCATTAGACACACCATGGCGGCAGTTTTACACTGATTTGCCAGCATGGTGTGTCTTCAAAAAAGGCTTCTGTTGACTCCTCCTTATCCTGCACATGTGTGGTAGCCTACGAGGCATGACTATCAACTCTTTCCAGTAGGGGAGTGGGAAGAGGGGCAGGAGCTAAAGCCATTCAAATGTTAAAATCTCCCTCTCCTCTCCTTGATGACATCACACTACAGACCAGCGCTGTAAACAACTAATCAAGATTAAACATGTAAACAGTTAGATTTTTCTAACCTGTGAGGACTGGGGCCTCTTCCAGCTGACTGGTACCAGGACGTTGTTAGAGGTGGAGCCAGAGGAGGTGGAGGATGTGCTACGCGTCACCGCTGTCGTGATGCTTTTTGCGTCATGGCCCGAGGAGCATTGTAGATCATCAAAACAGCGACCAATCACTGGCGTCTAAATGCAAACAAACAAAGAAGAGTGTAGTCTTTAGCTGTTCTGTCTGTCCATGACCTGCGTTCTGTGGCGCGGGATGAGGATGTGAGAGCAGTCGGTAGTTTTCATCCCCTTTGAAACAGTCTTTATCTAATGTAAGTGTTTAGTTCAGTGAAATGTGAACAGCCAACACCTAACTGATGAAAATTCAACTGCAACTCACCGACTCACTTACAGAAACACAGCAGAAAGGACTTGACATCATTTCCTGCCATTCAAGAACTACAAATAACGCCCTGTTCTGTTCCCAGACACACACACACACACACACACGCACACACGCACGCACGCACGCACGCACGCACGCACGCACGCACGCACACACACACACACACACACACACACACACACACACACACACACACACACACACACTCCCCGTCTCAGCTAACCGTGTTTACCTTTAGAGCTTTAAAGCTAATCTCAAAGGCGTTTAGTTGATGATAATTACAACTAATGAGGAAGAGGAAGAAATGTTTCCTTCCCAACGAGCCTCAGTCTTAACAAGCACAACACCCTGGAAAATACAGAACCAAAAGAAAGAAAGAAGCAGAGCCAGACATAGAAGTTTCACACCTTCAAAAGGGTGGAGAGATATTATAAGGACTGTAAGCAGAAAGAGACTCCCACCTCCGATATGTCAAAGTGGAAGTCTAGTGTTTTCCCAGGCAGGGCCTTGGAGGAGCGGTCCCACATGCGGCTGATGTCCTCATAGGAGAGGTGACTGTGTGCGGCTGAAGGCTGCACCAAGCTGGCTGATCGGGAAACCACCAGCTTCTGGATGTTCAGAGCCTCCCTCCAATGGACGGTCTACGGCGAACAGACATAAACCACTCATACACGCCGGCAAAAGTAAACAAACACGCACAAATGTTTTTCTGTGTTTACGTGCGACTTTGTGTGAAACCAGAGGTGATCGAGGCAGTACCAGTAAAGGCCTGGTGTTAGGCCGGCTGTTTATAGTCTGGGTGTGTCAGAAAATCACCAAACTGCTTTTGGAGCAAACAGCAGGAGAAGCAGGGCACACAGACCATTTTAGGTTCTTAACCCCACTTTAAAGATACCAACGCTTCAACTCGCCTGGACAAACTTCTCTATAGTCTTGAGGACTTCTACGTTGAAGGGTTTGGCTTGAATTCCACTCAGGTCCATGTGACTCAGGAGGCAGTAGATGATTTGTAAGAGTGTCTGCTGCATGCTCGGGAGGCCCTTCTCCAGCAGCTGTTGGTAAAATGTAAACAATTTACCAAGAGCTTCCACAACAGCACGACTGTGCAGAAGTAAACAGGAAACCGCACCAACCTCAGCCATGTAAGTGACCAGACTCAGAGTGATGTCAGAGAAGGCTTCGTGGAGATACCGACACACCACGCTGACCCAGGTGAAGCAGTCGCGCGTGTAGGAGTGTGTTTTATACAGAGTCATGACATGAGTGAGGTTGGACAGCTTGGGATTCTTCTCCTCGAGGCAGACCTTTTAAAAGAATGCACTGGCGTGTAATTCACAGCACAGGTGAAAAGCGTGAGAGGCAAAACGTTCACGAAACCAGACCTGAGCTACTTTTTCTGCAACCTCTCGGCAAAACGGAGTGGGTGCATCGAAGTTCTGCACAAGATGTGGAAGCAGGCAGAGAACATTCAAAGGAAAACCTGAAACCCAACAAAATACTTCAATACATTTGCATTTGAGAGAAATAATGACAATGAAAAAGGAACAGCTTCGTGCCTATGGCTTGTGACGTGTCCACTACAGGCACTCGTGACACGGGTGTGAGCTGGCAGAAGAGCTGCAGCGTGATCTCCGTGGTGGAGGTGGAGGTGAAGCCCTTCAGTAGCAGCTGCTGGAGCCCGGAGAAGCTGGTCCATTTCAGCTGACTCTGCAGCTTCTCCAGCCTCTCTCTGTTCTCCGGCTTGTCCAGAGAGACGTTAGCTAGCAGCTTGTTCAGCAGCCTTAGAGACATCTGGTACTCAAACTCGAAGTCCGACTCCATCAGCGACACGGCCACCCAGAAAATGGTGGCCAGCAGGTTGCTGGGGTGGTTTATGCTCATCGGGTCGGTGACGTCTTTAGATGAAGAGGAACTGCTCATCTTGGCTAACAAGGCCTGCTGTTCACAGGCTTGGATACGGTTCAGGGTGGCACTGCGCGGTGGATCCGAACACCTGTCGGCTTCTCCAAATTTTTTGGGGACCGAAGAGCTCCTGTGATGCCGACTCTTCTCGTCTCTTCCTAGATTTAGCTGCCTGGTGCTCTTCCTGTTGGACTGCTGCTTGAAACTGGTGAGGAAATCTGGAGATGAAGCTCTGAAATATAACAAACTAATTTAAAGCGTGTTTTAACTTTGGGGAAAAAAAGGACGACTTTTAAACAATATACAAACCTGGTCAAAAGGACCATGAGATCACTGTTCTTCAGGCATTCAGCCAAGTTATCCACCACAGACTCCAGCGTCAGTAACACTTCCATCACGTAGCCCTGAGACGAAAAGGCACGGCTCTTAATAAGGAGAAAAACTCACTTGGTTTAAAACTTATTCTTAACTTTTAAGCATCACTAGAGCAAATTTTCTATTAAAAACACATCTGCTACTGATGTTCATGTTGTTTCAGCAGCCCTTGAGCCATGAACCTAACCAACTCCACATGGACAGCACCCTGGAACACTAGTGGGAGGCATCCAGCTGCTTTACGGCAACAGCTGCCTACTGTTCCAGAAGCTAAAATAAAATTAGCATTTTCAGTTCACCGATCATCAATGAGAAGCACAAGAAGAAGTAAAAGAAAGATCTAGCTTTTTCAGTTGGCATCGTGAAGGAGCCTGGAAGTAAAAGCGAGAGAGGAATGTCTTCAGTGGTGTGAAGCAAACCGCTAAAACCAGGGTGAACATCAGCATGACCTATGCTAGCTGGAGCTAAAGGAGGCTACTAAATCACAGACTGATGGAGACCTGGCTTTGTTGCTGTAACATTGTTTTTCCAACAGTGTGGATTTTTTTACTTCGTGGCTGTAGTATCAGTTGCCTCATGTTAGCATTATAGCTTGTTGTTAGCGCTGGTTAGAGCAGGCTGCAGCAGGGTTTGGTACAACAATTGTAATTCTGCTTTCTACCAGTAGGAGGAGTGGGAAACTGTTGCTTCAACATCCCAGAGCTGCCCAATAACACTTATTTTCCTGCATGTTTCTGCAAATAGAAACTACTAGTTGACAATAATTTCATTTGGGTCTATACATATGCCAGCTGGTGGCATAAAAAGTAAGTAAGTAGTGAGTAAATGTTATTGATCTTATCACAGATATAGAATCACAAAGTACTTAACACAGACAACATTCAAAACACCAGAATGCTTTATAAACGCATCTTTATCACACACACCCAACACAAGTACCAGTGTTGGGAGTAACGCGGTACAAAAGTAATTAATTACTGTAATGCATTGCTTTTTGCTGTAATGTGGTAATGTAAGGCATTACAGGTAAAGAAAATGGTAATATTTACTCGGTACAATTGTCAGTAACGCGGTAATTACAACGCATTTTTAAACCCAGAATCAAGATGTGGGTTTCCTAAACATTCTAATTGCGGGAAGCCTGAAAAAAGATCCAGCATCCACATATATGACGTCATTCATGGACTCAGCTTTGTGGGCATTCTATGAGCAGAGAGGACGCAGCGGCGATGGCTCAAACACTCCAGCTGTGTCCTGCGCGCGGCCGCTGTTATTTTCACAAAATCGCTCCACCAAAACAAAGTCATTCGTTTGCGATCGTTTATATCAGCCCATATTCTCTGGTACTTCATGTACTTTTCAGCTGAGTTCATAATCTGTGCCCCGGTGATTTCAACTCATTGCTGCTGGAGCGCAGCGCATATTAAGTGTTCGGTAGATCCCTTTGGCTGATTAGTTAGAAAGAAGGAAATCTAGGAAACAGTTTTTCTGGAAGACGGAGAAAACATGCAGCATGCAGGAAGGTTAGAGAGAGAAAGGGCCGGAAATCATTCAAATAAAACCAAGAAAACAAAACAAAGTGCTTGAAAAAAAAATTTGGTAGATTTATCCCCAATACACATTTTTACCAGTGAAAAGCAATAATACATAAGCATTTAATATTTATACATGTGATATAATCAGATCTCCCCAGAAGTCAGTCCCACATCCAGGGCCGTATCAAGGCATTTGGGGACCAAGGCAAATATAGGCTTGGAGCCCCCACCACCCCACTCCCTGCTCAGTTAATATAAGATGACAGCGTGCTGAGAGTACAGATTGTTGTTGATTTTATTTAATAAACAATCATTTTAAAGCACTGTTATTATATCTGACTGTTTTTAACAGCAATCCTAGCTCAGACACCACATCACCTTCCACATATATGTCATGAGCTCACTGAGCGTCACATTACCAGATTCATACTGAAGTTGTATTGGTGAAAGTAACTTAAAGTAATGCAAAAGTAGTGTAATCCCTTGCATTTTCAAATCAGTAATAGTGTAATGTAATGAATTACTTTAAAATGAGGGTAACAAGTAATAAATAATGCATTACAGTTTTGAAGTAACTTGCCCAACACTGACAAGTACACACTCATGCTTAGACAAGATCTTATTTGTTCATTTTAGGTTTTTCATAGCAATCCAAAACTTTCCCAAGTAAAATAAGACATTTCTTATTTGTCGTTTTTGTTTCTGGAAAAAAAAATTGTATTCAACTGTGGCAAAAAGACAATGAAGAGTCATTAATTTCATCCATACACTCTAATTTAATACACACACAGACCTGCACTTCTTCTCCATGTTCTCCAATGACTTCCACCAGTCGTGACAGCAGGTCGGACACGGCACGGGCAGAGAGCGGCTGGCGGAGAGCTCGAAACACCTGGAAGGAGCGGCCGGCGTAGTGGCGAGATGAACTGCACAAAGCCGTCTGCAGCGCCACCTCGCTGAGCTGCTGCTCCAGATGGAAATCTGACCAAGATCAACAACACGAGAAGCAGTTCGACATGATGAAAGAGCTCCAGTGGTCAGTTAACGGTCAGTGGTGAACAGAACTCAGGGGTTACCTGACTTGGACTCTTTAAACACAGACACGACGTGCCGCAGGAAGTTGGTCAGCTGTTCGGTGCTTTTTGAGATTTGATTTTTCGGTGAAATGTCTTCATGGCACCACAGAGGACCGTGTGGTCTAAAACGTAGTTACTCGTTAGTCACTGTGAACTTGAACTTATGAAATTAAACTTATGAGGGTTGACAATTGGTTGGTTGTAGATTGCATGTACTAAAGCGAAGTCTTCAGCCTATTGGGTTAGTATTTAGACCCATAGAATGTATGTGTAGTGACTCTGTGTACAAATAAACTGCACTGCACATGCTGCACCACTAGGTGGGAACCAAATGCTGCAGATAAAATTGTCTGAGATGTGCACGACTGCATGAAACGTGAAATCACCTCGTGGTTAAAAACTCAATGAGCTTGTAGACTTTTTCATTCGTTTTACCGGAGCCCACAAACTCCTCCAACTCCTGCGTGCTCTCCGGCAGGTTGTTGTTGCTGCCCCCCAGACTCAAACTGGATGACGTGGAGGAAGAGCTGAGACCAGAGTCTGGTATGGGAGACGCCTGACATTCCCGCAGGAAGTCCAAACTCCCTGCGGACAACAGAAACCCAACGTGTGACCATCAACTGGTTACGGTGAATTATTTTAGGGTTAAAGTAAACATCTAGACTTTTTCAAAACAATCTATCAGGGGGGGGGGGGGGGGGGGGGGGGGGATAATCAAAGCTTGAGCAAATGGCCCCAATTATAGGCCGAGGATAAAAATAGCTGCATGGAATGCTTTAATCAAGACCTTTGATGTCCTCTCAGCTCAATATTACGTTTGGCACAGTGTCCAAATATTTTCTACTCTGATAAGAATTATCTATTCTCCCAAAGAATTCTAGCAATGCCCTAATTATGCTTCAGTTTATTTTAGCCAACGAGAAAAGTTAGACGGTGCTTCAAAGTTTCGATCCTAATTCATCAGTAAATACTGATTATTATTTTTTATTACCAGCTGGGGAATATTCTGGGTTTGGTTTGCAGGTGAGTGTCTTGGTAACGTAGATTTCACGTGTCTGCAGTAAGATTGATGCAATAGCTTGAAAGTTGTTGTCACAGAGAAGTGTGATGAGCAGGTGGAGGAGGAGGCGCTTGCTGTGCTCGAACACCTCTGGGCGATAATGATCCATACCTGTAAAGTCAGCAACATGATCAGATATGTTGGTGTGAAAATGTCAAAATGTGTGTTTTAATGAAAAACGACCAATATGTATGCATAGGAGTCATAGTAGGATTCTGTTATTTAGATTTTTACAGTTCTATGGTCGATTAAAAAAACATGCTAATGAGGTTCTGCGTGAAATTTCTCTCACGTAAAACAATTTCAGCCCCTTTATCCTTCCAGAAATAGAAAATTCAGGGCTCTGTCACTTAAAAAGAAGCTAGCTGGAGATGGCCACGCCCACCAATCACCTGATTGGCTGCGATATCTGGGAGGAGCTCGAAGTAGAGCAGCTGCTCCTACAGCAGTAGCTCTTTCTTGCACATAAGAGGTGGTCCGACTCAACTTTTTTAGTTTGTGACATCACAACGAGGGCTTGTTGAAATCGGCCGATTTCAGCACATAATTGCTAAAACCAAACACAGACAGAAAACTAATGTGTATTTTTTTCATGTTTGGAGTGTTTATAGAGGCAGTAGAGACCCACCTGGCAGCACAAAAGATGAGTTTTGCACAATATGTCTCCTTTTAAAGTAAATGACATTAGAATGAGGTTGGTGATGTATGACAATTTCCACGCGATGGTCGTCAGTTCAGAAAAGATGGGCGATAAATTCACACAGGAGACATTTACATGACTTTAGTGTTTTTATTGTATATTATTTTTGAATAGTTCATAGTTTGTTCTACAGCAGAGAAGTGGGGCGGCTATTGGTTTGGGATGATGTCGATCAAAGTTTGAAGCTAACATTTGGTTGCTAAGAAGTTAGTAGAAAGATGCATCTAAGGAATATTTTTGATGTTTTTCACTGTATATTAAAGGGAATCTAGGCAGCTTTGGCCTGCTTTTAGCACCCCCTTGTGTCCGTTTGTAGAACCAGAAGCAAAACTCATCCCCAGCCATCTCCTCTTTTTAACACCTTAATCTAACAGCTGACATGTCTTCCAGCTTTCATTAGTGTCTACAGGAGTGATTCATCACTAAATTAAACAAATCAGCTGTGTTCATGATCTCAAACATGCAGGGAACGTGCTGGAATCAGACTTCAGCGCTAAGCAGAGCGGCTCGCCAGTCTGAAGTTGCAAGTGGAGTATTCGGGCCACAGGGGGCGATAGGGGCTGGGTGGCCTTTCATTAACCCTGTAGGGTCATTTCAGCACATACTGGCTGAAGAAAATTATTTAAAAATAAGAAAAAAAAGCGAAGTATGCCTTTTGTTGGACCAACTATTTTATTGGAGTACTTTTATTTTTACTTCTGGATGTAAAAAGACAAAGACTTGTTGTAAATGACTTCTGTCAGCGATATGAGGCTTTGACCGACGAGTTGGATTTTATTTTGAATTTCCGAGTGTTTTGAAAAAAGTACGTCTACAGTTATGGTTGAATCCTTGACTGGCGTATGTTATAGGAATCATAAGAATTACAGCTTTCAAATGATGTGGAATGTGAATCTGTACAAAAAATAAACGTTGCAAAGATGATGCTGAACTGCCGTGGAAGTCTGCCATGTCCCCAAAGCATAAAGAATTATCGCCTCTATAAAAACATTGACGGAGGGCTTGGCCAAAAGCCGATGGTCGAATAATTCGCCCAATCGTCAAACCTTATAATAAAATGACTCTACCCAAAAATAGAGCATGTAGCAGTAAAGGCAGGTGAAGGGTCCAGTCTTCTCTAACACTGTGGTCCACCACCATCTCAGTCATGAAGATGACTGCGATGTTACACCTATATGAAAAGATATTTAGTAAAATACACCTCTTAGATCTGATTTGAATCTTAATTGTCTTTAAAAGTAACAAAGAAAAGTTTTCAAGAGCCCGTCTGACCTGTGCAGTGGTCCTCTGGGAACGATGGTTTCAGGTAAAAAGTCCACCAGCGGAGCCCAACAACCTCCACTCAGTGGCATGGGCAAGGCGTGGGGCTTGTTGGTCTCAATAACAAGCATCAGCCAGTCAGCATAGGGGGCCACAGGTTCACCTGCGAGGTCACGGGATAGGGTCTTATAATTGATCACGTCTAAAACAAAACAAACAACTTTAGCAGGTGAGCAAACGCTCGGATGGAAAAAAAACTTTAGTTAAATTGCAGCCTGAAACAACAAAGATGATTTTAACACTAAAACCCAGCAGAAGGTACTTTGAAGTACTTTTGTAAGTAGTTTGGGGTTCCCTGCTGTAGTGCAGAGGAGCTTCAGCGTCTCTACTTGTGTTTCCCTGCTCATGCATTCTTAATGACCTTGTTCTCTGGACCAGCTGGTGAATTTCACACCCACTAAACCATGATGGAGCAACCATTTCTTAGCGTTTAATGCAGAAACTCACTTTTATCTTCATCGTAAGATCCTCCTGAACTGTTGCTGTATCGTGACTCCAGGCGGTTGTGTGCTCTCATTAAGTGACTCACCCTGGATTTAGGATAAAATACGTCTTTATATTTCATGGGTCCTGAAAATGCTGCAATTAATCAAATGACAAAATTTGAAGTTCAACTGCGTTTTAATATTTTTTTTTTTACCTCTCCTCATTGATTTTGTTCTCGTCTGTGTCAGAAAAGCTAGCCTGACCTGCTGTTATGGTGTTGCTGCTTGAGGCGGTGCCTAGAAGGAATCGCAATTGTAAATACGAGGTATTAGATGAAAATGTTACAAAATTAACATTTTGACTTTGGAATAATTAAATAATAATAATAAAATAGCTGCATTATAACAACAGAAGTGAGATACAACAAAGGCTACATGCGTTTTAGCCCCAAGTGGCTCGTCAGGGAATGCGTCATGCTTGGGAAAACGTGACAAGTGGTTCGTGGAGGCCTCCGAAGAGGATTAATGAGAAAAGAAGGACCTGAAGCTGCTGCGGAGGCTTTGCTTGTGGCGGTGAGGCGGTAGAAAGGAGGGCTGTCACAGTGTTGCACCACAGGGTTGACTGGGTCTGTTTGTTGTAACTCAAACAACAACTGCTCCATGGTTTGGATTGTGTTGTTTCGGCAGAGATAGATGACTACTTTCTTGGTCTGGGAAAAACAAACGTCCGCGAGAATGATTGGCAACGTGAGGCTGGTGACATTTTCTAGCAGGCTGTGATTTCTTACATATGGGAGCAGAGTTGTGTCACTGCTGACGCCACAGAGGCTGATGAGGAACTGCAGCGCCGTTCTCAGATTGTTGCTCCAGTTTTCGTTACTGATTAAAGCATTCCAGGCGTTTTCCATCTCTGATCCAGGCACATCGTCCCCGTACTAACCAGGGAGGTTAAAAAACAACACATCAGCTGGTCTCAAGCGACATCAACACCACTACAATGACTTTACCTTGGCTGTCATGAACATGAGGTTATTGAGGACCATGGATGTGGCCTGCAAGGATCCCCAACCAGTGCCTTTCAGTGGCTGCGATGAATCCGTGCAGGTCAGCTGGCAGCAGGAGTCATAGCTTGGGATGGACGGAGTGAGAACCGGAAGAAGCAAGCCACCATCTACTAGCTCAATGTTCCCAAGCCAGGGCAGGAGGTAGGTCAGCATGATCTGCCTCCCGTTAGGGTGAGTGGTCGGGAACCTCTGGCTAACCTCTGGAAGATGAAAAATATATGAAAGGAAACAATTTGTATTTTGTGGAAAGATAAAATGATCCGAAAAATTATGTCGTTCACTCATTTTTTCAATAAATCTAGCTGTGGTCTCTAATATGAACTGCATTGCGAGTCATTTTCTGTGGGGAAAGAAGCTCTGGTGCCTCAGCTTCAGGAAATAGAAGTGAGTCGGGGGGGGGGGGGGGGGGGGGGTGAAAAACGACACGATTTGGAGTCAAACTTATTAACGAAGCTGAACAATTTTAGAATAAAATTTAATTGCAATTTTTCTAGGAGAAAAAGCGATTTCAGTTAGATTCACAATTTTTAACCCTTTGATGCATGAATTATGAAATCTTCAACCATGATTTTTTAAACAATTTTTTTTATTCATCTTTAGGTGTGACTGAAACAAATTTCAACAAATATTTTTTGTAACATTTTGTTAATTTACAAATAATTTATTACATGTCCACCTCAGTGGAAAGCGTGCATTCTGAACATGAAATGTGTTGGCTTGAGTCACTGAAGTCCAAATGGAGGGGATCAAATGCAATAAAGTCTTCAACAGCTGTGCTTAACAGCAAAAATAAATAAATAATAATTTTGAGTACCTGTCCACTGTAGTTTAACACGCTACATTATATAAATATACCATTAAAACATTATAAGCTGTTCCTTTTCTCTCTCATTATCTTTATCAATCTTTTATTTTTCAATGTGCTTGTGAAGTTACTTGTGATTTTTATCTAGAGGTGTTTTATGAATGTGCAAGGCTAGAGGTCCCTTATTTACACAATAAAAAAAACCCGAGGTGGGTCATGTGATAAAAGGATCCAAGACAGAGGCAGCCATATTAGGCTCGCAGCTGCCACCGTAACTCGGGGGGGGAAAGCCCCGGATGTCTGGAGAGTTAACACGACAGATCCCGGGTCAGTCTGGAGCGCTACAAGAAAAAGATCCCGGGTCAGTCTGGAGCGCTACAAGAAAACGCAGCTTTGACGATCACTTTGAAACAAGGTATCTGCAGGTTTAAGGGACCCAAATTTAAGACTTTTTAAGACCTTTTTTAAGGCCACTGACCAAATTTAAGCTATTTAAGCAAGGCAGCAGTAGCTCAACAGGTTGAGCGGGTAGTCCAGCAATCAGAAGGTTGCAGGTTCGATCCTGGCTCCGGACAGAGAATTCTGCTGTTGTGTCCTTGGGCAAGACACTTAACCCACCTTACCTGCTGGTGGTGGTCGGAGGGACCGGTGGCGCCTGTGCTCGGCAGCCTCGCCTCTGTCAGCTCGCCCCAGGGCAGCTGTGGCTACATCGTAGCTCATCACCATCAGTGTGTGAATGCGTGTGTGTGAATGGATGAATGATACACTGTGGTGTAAAGCGCTTTGGAGTCCTTACTCTGACAGGCGCTATACAAGTGTGGGTCATTTGTCATTTTTAAAAATTAAATTTAAGCTATAATTTCCAGCTATTGCCTGGAACCGGTGCTAACCATGTAGCGAACGTGGGATTAGCCAACCAGTTACCATTAAACTTGCACTTCCCCATGGCGCAAGCTCCCACTAGCTTAACCAGCTAACGTGCTCATCTAAAAATAGCCCCCTTTCACAACCAACTGAACGTGTACGGTTCCGCTTACGCCAACATCGTACACAAAAAATGCTGAACACTAACTAGAAATTCACGAAAATTTTATAGAAATAAAAGAATCTTGTTTATTGGGTCTTTGGTAATTTAAGACCTCTGGAAACTGTACTTAAGGATTATTTGTCATTTTTAAGGATTTTTAAGGCCTTAAATTTGGAAAAGCTAATTTAAGACTTTTAAAGACTTTTTAAGGACCCGCGGATACCCTGTTGAAAACTTAAACTGCAATTTCAGTCCAAGAATAACAGATCGTTTAGCCCTACTCATCAATATTTATGATATGGGAACATCTAGCCTCTGATTGGCTAACAGCAACACAACTCTTCTGCTGCCTACGTTCCCTCTTCTTTCTTGGAATAAAAAAAAAAGCAACATTGATATTTTATTTTCCACAAACAGCACAAGAGTTTTTAATGCTAATGGTTAGCTTTTATTAGCTGAGACGTTCTCTGCTCTCTCCTTCCTGTGGGTGATCCCCTACCAAGGTGGGCGGGGCCATGAACACTAATTACTCTGTGATATTAAACAGACGGGCTTTTTCTGACCAGATTGCTTCGCCATCTTTTCCCTTCCCACTAATGCAGACGATGGACGTTTTTACACTCAGCATGCTTGTGAAACTTAGAGTGACTCATTTCAAAACTTAGAAGCATTCCACGGTTTCTCAGTGAGCAAGCTGTTTAAAACATCAGCTACCTGAGAAGAGAGGAAGTGTGAGTTCAGGGTACATCCTGGCCAGCTGACTGGAGAGCTGAGGCAGAGAGACGCTGTAAAGAGGGGGGAGTGGACCATGGGTGCCATACAGGATGCTGCTTGCCTTCAACTCTGCAGTCTTCTTGGAATACAGGAGCAATTTAGCTTCAATAATCTGTTTTTAAAAGTAGAACAGTGTCAGGTATACGGTGATCTCAGTGGTCTTATAATGTTTAAATTGATTACAGATGTTGATAATCTGAATATCTGCTGTTAAAGAAACCCCAGATTAATGATCAGACATCCGTCGGGATCCCAGATGCCTGTTTTCTTATAAAACTACAAGAACTCAAGAAGAAACTCTTGTTTCTTACCTGCATTAGCTGCATGGAGATCTCGTAGATTTCTCTACTGGCGCTTGACGCTTCGAAGAGCACAAGATTCAGCAGCGTTACGATGTCACATGGGTAGTTTTTGCTGGTAAAAACAGAAGGAAATAACAATAAAGAAGACATTTGTTATGGACATTGTTACTGATTGATAGTCTCAGAAGATTCGAGAAGCTGATCAAATGAGGTTTAGGCTGATGAAAGGGCACAGAGATTGTGATCCACTGCACCTGCTGCCCAAGACCGTCGCGATGGCTTTGAAGCAGCCTGCGGCCAGCTGGTGGGAACCAGTGTAGCAGCGATCCACCGCCCAGTTGAACAGATTCACCTGGTCTGCATTAAGCTCCAGGAGCAGGATAACAACTTCACAGCCAAGCTGATGGACCTGAGCCAGAAGCAGAAACCAAAACCTTCCATTTTATTCATTTCCTGATGCTTTCAGATATTAGAGATGATTCAAGGATTTAGTCCAAACATTAAATAGATTCTGCAGAATCAAATGAATAATTAACCTAATTGGCAAAAAGCCTAGTTAACATTTCTGTTCAAAGTGCAAAATAAATACTCTTTCAGGAAGAATGTGCGACGTGAGCCTGCAGTAGAGTCAACATTAGAAAAGTTCATTTCAAAGCAAGCATCCCTCGACTTTCACCAGCCTTCCTGTGTAGTGGATAGAAGTTGGCAGGAGCCTTAATGATGCTATAAAACAGGTAAGGACTTTGTTAGAAGCAGTGATGGGAACTAAAACAATAGTTTTTTCAGTCACACGTAATCTACTGAATTACCGTCTTCTTTTATCAAAACGCCGTTTCGGTTACTGATAAGAAAATGCGTGCGTTACTAATTCGGCAGCGCAGTGTGTTGAAGCCGTCATCAGCTGATCAGGAGCTAAACGTGTTCATCCAAGCACATCACGGCCCGTGAAGAACGAGGAAGACGTGATGAATAGTCTACGGCTGCAGACCTGCAGGTGTGAAACTGCAGCCGTGCCCTCCTTGGTGTGACAGCGGGACGTCCCAAAGGTCCGCTCACCTGTTCACCGCTCAGACATCACCATCTTCTACCTTCCTAGATCATCCAGCTGTAACCTGTTTCTGATCATCTCTTTAGTCCCGCTGTAACACTGGTTGCATCAGTCTCAAACATCATGGAGCTCAGGTGTTATCAGTACTACCTGTGGGTCTTCACCACCCAGCTTCAGCTCCTCTGTGGTTGGGTCTGAACCAAGTTAGTACATTTAAGCCCTCCATCAGATTTGTGACTCTTCTAGTGTCATTTTAAAGGATTTTTATCTATTTAACCATTACTAGATTACCAGCAATAGAAATGCTACTAAAACACATAATTATGTGAAAATTAAAATACTGTGCAAAATTACTCTTGTTTCAGTAATTTAACTAGACTGAGAGACCATTTAAAGGCTCAGGAACCTTTGCAGGTGTTTCTATGTGCAATTATAAATTTTAGCTGATTGAGGTCTTGTTAAATATCACACAGTGACCTTTTAATAGTCTAGATTAGTGTAATGCTCCTGTTTGTAGTTCCTCCTGTTAAGTGCTTATTTATTTAAATTATTCAGGTTTGCAAAAAACATTTGGACATACATTTTATTATGTTCCAGTCATTAGTCATTTACATTTCACTATTGTAGTAATTTACAGTAAATTAAGTAAGTTTCTTAAGAGGGGAACCCATTTTTCTTGCATTGTTTAATGAGAAAAAGTAATGAAATAGTTATTTTTCTTGGTAATTAGTTACTTTTATAATCTTGTAACCTGGTAAGTAACCGAGTAACTTTTTTGACAAAGTAATCAGTAACCATAACAAATTATTTTTTAAAAGTAACGTTCCAAACACTGGTTAAAAGGCACCACTGTAGTAAAGCTTTGGCTACTGACCCGCTGATCCTGGCAGACCAGAATATTATCCAGCCACTTGTAGAGATATCCGTCTTGAGAGAGGCCCACGTTATCGAAGACCGGTCCACAGCACAGCACAGCAGACATCGCCTGAAAAACCAGCACGGTTTTAGAGCGTTAGAGCGAGAAAACAATATTTATTCCAGTGATGGTCATCGGCCACTCCACACGGCTTAGTAAAAGCGCTGACACCTTTTCAATTAGTGACTCAGCATTTTTACCTTAAGCGCACAATACTGATATCTTGTGATCTGGTGGTTCCTGTCACTGTAGCGGTCCAAAGGGGTGAACATGACGCTGAAAGGGCCGGCCCACTGACTGAAGAGGATGAAGAGGTGGTGTCGAAGACTCTGCTGAGGGAACAGGAAGCGCCTGTGGTGCACTACAGATGAAAACCAGACAAGCTGATAGGAGTCAGCAGAATTTTTCAGGCATCTTTAAAGGGACTTTGCGCAGTTTTGAATTTTTATGCTTGCGATTGCCCCCTCAGGCCAAAAGCGTAACGGCAGCTTCAATAGTAGGCTCGTGCACGAGGCACGCATGCTGCACGTGCACACTCCTTAACGAAAATAACAGCTGAGACAGTCCCGTGTGTGTGTGTGTGTCCTGGAGGACAGAGGACAGGAGAACGTGCAGCTAATTAATTAAATAATTTGGTTCTGTACCTTTCTCTTCAGCACAGCCGACAAAGGTTTATGATGGGTCAGTCCTCCTGCATGCTCAGATCATTCCCTTCCCTTGCTTGAAAAATTGTTCCAAAATGAAAGTTGAACCCACATCTTTTTATCTGTGAATTCAATGCCGTTCGGTGAGTCTCAAATAAAAATTTGGGCATCTTACTGTAAAAAAATATACCATTAATGTGAAAAATGAAACTCTAAAAGAACTATGTTAACACCCAGAATCAAACCCAGGTCTTCCACATGGGAGGCAGACATCTTACTAGGTGAGCTAAAGCGCCAGTGATGTCCTTTGCATCTGTAACTTTTATATCCTTGATGACAGCTGAAACAACGTCCAACCAAAGAACGGTTTGGAGCGAAAATGGCAATTTTGTTGCTAATTTGCAGGAAATATCTAGAAGAAAGTTCTACAGAAAGTAGCTAAGGGTCCTCAGAAATGTAGCTAGCTTTGTCACTAGGTGTTAGGAACAGCGACAAAGTCGCTGAGTTGGCACCATCGACATATACACTACCTCTCTCTCTGCTGCTAAAGCTACGGATAGCAAATGCTACGGGCGATGCCTGAGTGTGAACGCGCATGAAGCAGCCTGCTCGACCCGAGCATCTCTCTTTTTCTGTGATTTTACAGAAAAACAGGCAATCACAGTAAAAATGCCAGGGCTCATTCTACAGGACCAGGGCATTGCAGGAGAATGTATGAAGAAGACATTTATTATTTCTATACATGTTTTGGCTGTCAAACTTCCATAATGCCCCTTTAAAGATGCAAAACAATTTAGCTTAAAACATTTTTTCATGCCTAGTAACAACCTAACATAGTAGAACTATAAATATGTTGTGGAGATAAAATAATAATAATAATAATAATTAAGCCGTTCTCTTGCATTTGTCTAAAAACCTCCACCATGACTCGTGTCCAACTATTGGACCATGCGGTTGCTGGTTTCGCCGAACCGCTGCACTTCCTTGTGTCCTCCACTCATTACACACTTGCATATTTAGCAACAGAACACCGCTGGTTTGAGAGGTTCTCTGCTCATTCATATCAGAGAAGGAGAAACGGCTGGCTGCCACTTCAATGTGAGGACAAATGACCAGAGTCCCAAAAAGAATAACACCACTTGAAGTTATGGACAACAAAAGACATTTGAACCTAGAAAACAGCGATTGGTGTTCAGCATTATCTCGTATCTTCTGGTAAAGCGGGCTTCTGGTTCCAGTGGATGCGGATCCAGGGAAGACACCTGAGGGGAGGGGTGAGTGTTCTGTGACCGTGTTTACATTAAAAACCTAGCTTGTTCTGTAAATTTGCTATAGCAGCTTTAACGACTAAAACTGGAGCTTGTTTTGCAATAAGAAGACGTTGGTGTCCCTTGACAGACTTGAGTTATCACCTGCACTTGCTTGCTCTGTCCTTTAGCTGCACTATTTCTAAATCTTCCTATAAGATGCAATTTCCAAATCAAGCTCAGTGCCAACAGTCTAGTGCTGTGTCTGCGGTCAGCCTGAGCAGACTGTAAATGACAAACTAGATGCGGCAGACGTGTGGATATTCGTGGTGTTGGTGTCAGGTTTCCTGCTCATTGGCATTGGAGGCTACCTGGCTTACCAGAACATTAACGAGCTGTCGAGGAATATTGGCCTGATCCCGGAGCTCAGAGATGGTTTGCACCGCGCTGTGATTTCACAGACTCAAATAACTGTCAAGATGAATCGTAAGCTTGGGACTTTGGCGGAGATTCATTCTTTGGCACAAAAGATGGATGCCGTCAAGGAGAGAGTGGACGAATCAGCACGGATTGGGATAGATTAATGATCATTATTGGGATTCTGAGAGGTTGAGGACCAACAAACTGTAAGACAGAGGAAATTATCTCTGTCTGGCCCCAAAACAATTTCTAATCGGAATCTGGCGTCCTTGAGCCTGCAAGGCTCCAACGAAAACTCCCCCCTCAGAAGATATGTGGAATGTGCCGTCGCTATGGCAACTCAACTCTGTATCCTTTCCCAGCCTGGGCGGGACTGCAGGAAGGCAGCTGAAGTGTCCAGGGTCACTGCAACCCTCCAACCCTCAATGCTCCTCCCCCTATCCACACTGAGGTGACATGCGCTGCTTATCATGGCTGCAGGAACTGAAGTGGTGATAGTCCCAACCCACCACCCCACCTAGTGGACACTTATGTTGTGTTGTCTGAAGTCTGTTGCATATCTGTCTGAGGTGTTTTTTTGCAGAGCAAAGCTGCCCTCCTGGTGGGAGGGTAACTCTGAAGTGCCTTTTTTCCCTCCACCTGAGCCAATCTTCATGTAACCCTCTTATCTCTATTAAGGTAGCGCGACTCAGGGTTGTGAATGACCACAGTCACCAATTCTTGTCATGTGTCTTGCCCGTGTATGTCTGATCTCTGAATTGTGTGTACTGAAACTCTAATTTCCTTCTGGGATTAATCAAGTATCTTTGATTTGATTGATTTGATTTGGTACAATGGGCCCGAGCTAGCGCTAGAAGTACCTGGAACACACTGGATAAGGTTAGCCACCATGCCACTGAAGTGAGCTCGAATGTCTTTGAGGATTTCTGCATCTTTGTCACTTTCAGCCTCAAGAAGCATCCGAGTTAGATCCACGTACTCAAGGAACAGAGCGCCGAGTGCGAGGGTGTCCCGCTCCAGAGCTCCATTTGTACTGCAGGACAACAGAAAAACCGCAGAAGAAAAATCACAAACATTCCATCAGGCAGTTACGAACTAAGCAATATTCACTGCTGCTGTGTTCTGTCAACGTCACTCTCGTCTCATGTTTGGAAGCTAGCTTCAGCCACCACCACGCTGACCTGTCACTGATGACTCCTGCATCAGCCAAAAGCTCAAAGATGCGCAACAGCTGAAGCCTCAGCAGATCCCTTCGCTCACGACGCTTCTTGTTCTGCAGCAGATTAAAGCAGAGACTGTGAACAGATTTCCTACCCAGCAGGACGGGAGTTCATCGGCCCTAACCCAACACACCTCAGGCCTTCTTTCCAAAGCTTCTTTCATGAGCGGATGTAGCTCCTCTATGAGCTCTCTGTGAGCAGATAGTGGAAATATTAACACATTGTGTTGTAATGCTTTTCATTTGTAGGAAAATAATTTGAGCAATGTTGCAAAAATGACTGAAGGAAGCAATTTAGATGGAAGTGGTGCTGGATCTCCACTCAGGTATAATCCTCTGTTCACTTCCCCTTTAAATCCATGAAAAAATGCGGTCAATGGAGACTTTTATCACTCAGACTTCTACTGTGGACAAATAATTTGATCTAATTTCCATCACATTGTTTCTTCTATTTAAAAAAGACTAAATTAAACTGATCCAGTTGTAACTTTTCAGATATTTAAATAAAATTTTGTTTTATATCAGTTTCTGGCAGAAAGTTTATGCAAAAAAACAACAACAAAAAACATCCAATCCAGCTGTGTGAGGTACCTGAACACCAGCGAATTAGTGCGACCAAAGCCCACAACTAATGACTCCGTCAGCTCGATGCTCTCCGCTCTCATCAGTGGAACCAGCTGCTTCAGAAGCCAGGCCACAGATGGGCTCCCGGTGACCTGAAAGCCCAAACGCCCTCGGTGAGGTCGCGCGAACAAAACAGCACCAATAATTCATTGGTGCTCTGAGAAAGGCGTTTGTGCCATTAAGAATATGTCAGCTTCCCAGGTCACTCATGCGAAAAACCCAACTGTAATTTGATGCTTTAAGATTAAACATGAACAAGCTCTGCGTGAACACCCGATCCAGGAGAAACAAAGCCCCGAGGGAACGAATGAATGAGGCACAAGAATAGGGAGACTGCTACCTTGTTGTCGTGGCTGACGTTGCTGTCAGGCGTAGAAGTCGTGACCTCAGGTGTCGATGCTCTCAGGTGACCGGGGCTCATGATGCTAGGCTTGGCCACCCCAAAGCAAAGAATCAGGTAGTTCCTCCACAGGGTTACGTAATTATCCACACTGCTAGACGTGCCAGCCTTCTTTGCGTACACTGGGCTGCTGGGGACAATTATCAGGGATGTAAATAAAACAGGAAGAATGAAAAGTGACTCGTGAACTTAGTGACAGGTCTGGGGAAATTTACTTTGGGTCCACCAGGGGCATGAGCATCTGGAGGCGTGTGAAGGCATAGGGCCAAACGTAGCTGAGTGCGGTGGGGCAGAGTCTGGGGAGGTTGTCCTGTCGGAGGAAACTGTAGACGCACAGCACCCAGGGGTCCTTCACAGACTGGGCGAAGATCCACACGTGTGAGGGGCTCCTGATGTCGTAGGGGCTGTTGACAAGCAGCGCGTTCCACTCCACAAGCCACTGAAGGTCCACGTGGTGACCAGCTGGCAGCATGGCCTGCAACAAGCCGGTCATACAGGTCAAAGTGGTTTAAACTAACCAGCATCTGGAAACTTCTCGGCTGTTAAGAGTAACAAAACTGCTAAGAAGACTAACAAATATATTTTAGATTTTCTAAAACGGAATTTGTTTTTGCAAACCGGATTCCACCTGTTTAAACTGTTCAGTGAGCATAAACTCGTTATTTCAATAAATTAGTAGTGGCCTCCAGAGTGAATGCCTTGTGAGTGTTATTCTGTGGGAAAAAAAGCTCTGGCGCTCCTGTTTCAGGAGGCAGAAGTCAGAAGAGTGAGGAGCAGCTGTATTTGGAGTCACACTCATTAATATTCATGATACGCGAACGTCTCACTTCCTATTGGCTAACAGCAACATGACACTTCCGCTGCCTCCATTTGGCTTCCTTTCTTGGGTAAAAACGCAACACTGGCGTTTTATCTCCACAAATAACACAAGCCGGGAGGAGTTCCTGCTCCGCCATGTTGTGGAGTTGCTAATGCTAACAGTTAGCTTCTGCTAGCCGAGATGCACTCTGCTAAGTTAAAGTCCCACTAGTTGTCACACACAGGGTGGGAAATTAGTTATCCTCATTTGACCCATCCCCTGGGGGAGCTGCAGACATTTGGTGGTGGTTTGGTGCTCTGCTCTAGATGAGAAAACACCTTTTGTTTCAAAGGTTGGGTCAGAGCTGAGCCACAACGTGCAGCTTAACAAACTTACTGTGTCAGAAACGGCAACGTTGACAAAACTCTTCAGGATAACAGGGCTGAGCTGATCCATCACCTCGATCATCGGTCTGTCGTCATCCTGCAGTCGGCAAAACACCAAAACAGAAGCTAAGTAGCAAACATCTTCTCGTCACTTGGACTTCCACTATCTGCTTTACCTCAGACTGTTCAATGGTCATGTAGAGACTTCGTATCTCTTTGAGAATAGCGACGGCAAGTCTGCGAGTGCTCAGCTGGCAGGAGCAGAGCAGCACGAGAGCCAGACCCTCCACAGCATGCAGCACGGTGGAGTGAGGACCTCGCTCTGTAGGCACCTTTAGACTAGCGCCGGACTGCAGCAGCTGCAAAATGCACAAATCGTATCAGTAAAGGAGGTTTTAAGGATTAGGAAGATAACAGAATAAGTGTCATGAGAATAAATCAGGGAAATTTTACCTCAGCCGTGTGAATCTGAGAGTGCTGACTCTTTCCCACTGTAGCCAGTGTTAGCCTCCACTGTGTGAGCAGCTGCAGCAGTAATTTTAGAGATGTTTCCAACAACCCTTGGTGGGTGTCGTGGACCTCACGCAGCAGGAAGTTAGTGAATCCAAACAGGACATCATCGCGCCAGTCAGAGAAATCCACCAGCAGGCTCTGCAAAGAGTTCTGAGCTATGAGTCGAAGCTCGTCGTCCATGTGGATCGTCAGTCTGGAAACCAGGATGAACAAAGAGCAGTTTAGCCGGAATAAACACGAAATCTTTAACTTCACCTGCAGGTTTGATACGACTCACCGAGAGAGCAGGTCGATGAGCTCAGGTTTAGACTTCCCGTCTGGCAGGATTCGAGGAATGGCTGCCACACAAGTCCTAAACAGGTCAATCTTTGGCTTCCTTTCACCTCTGAAAACATTAAATACACATTTTTCAGTTTAAACAAATCAGACATGTCTAACGGTGTGACCTTTCGTTGTCCTCTTGAATAATCCTGGCTAACCTGCACGCTTTGATGGTGAAGATGAAAGTGTACACGAGTGCTTACGTGATCATGTCCTCGGGCTCCTTGTTCAGCATCTGAGCGTTAGTCATCATCATGCAGCGCCCCACTTCCTTATCCAGGTGTCTGAGGATGATGTCGAAAGCCTTCCTTACATGAACATAATACTGGGACATGCCTGGAGAAGATCACACACATGGCGTCACATATTTATATGAATCTAAAAAATAAATGTCGACATTCCCGATCACTCTGTGTCGCCCTCACCGATGACTTTAGCCTCATCATCCGTCAGGGTTTTACTCAGGTAAGTCTTCTTCACCCGGATCGTGTTCCCAGAGGGCAGAGTGCAGCCGGTGTTCGGCATGGGAGGCTCTCCATCCTTCTGCTGGAGTTTGTCAGCGATAACCAGGAATGCTCTCAGACCGATATTTATTCTCTGGTTTGAAAAAAAAAGCTGAGATTCAAACTGCCAGTCCTCAATCATGATTTTACACTGCAAAAAATGATTTCTAAGTAAAAAGAAATAAAAATAATAATCCTCATTTTTGAAAATTGTATCTTATAAATCTGCCAACGGAGTAAACAAAAGCTGCTTGGCTAGAAATCTTGAAACTAGCTACAAAAACAAACAAACAAAAAAAAAAACCCAACCTAAAATTAGGTTAATTCGCGAGTTTCAAGATTCCTGGCTGAGCAACTTTTATTTGCTCAATTGGTAGATGTTTTTACTCAAAACAAGAAATTTTGGATCATATTTAAGAATATTTTACTTTATTTTAAGTCGTTTTTAGAGAAGAATTTATTTTCTTTTTAAACAAAAAATAAGATAAACAGTCTAAAAATGACAGCTTTTTTACTTCCTTAGAGATGAATTTTTACAGTGTGCAGTCTTGTAAAGTTTTTGAAATTTATACTTTTAGAGCAAATTTAGCAGAAAAGCTGGTAAAGCCGTAAATGCATTCTTACTTCATGTACCCTCTTAAATATTATACATTTTACAAAAAATTCACACTTTTAAGTGGTGAAATATTACATTTTATTTGTACAGGATCATGATATGGCTCAAATACCCCACACTATGGAATTGTTGTGAATTTGGCCCACCTGTGTGGTTATTTTAGGACTAAAATGTAATGTTTAGATAAAAACCACAAGTAAAAAGTCAAACATGCACCTCAGGATTAAGGCTGAATCCTTTTGAGGGTTTTCCAACACACAGAAGGTCAAAAATGATCTCTTTCATGGCAAAATCCAGTCGCTCCTGCATGAAAATGAAAAATAAAGAGAGGTTTTTATTCCTCAAATACAAATAACCGCTTGTCTCTGAATGTTTCATCAGGTCTAACATGAACTGACAGTAAAGATCTTTGTTGTGCTCACCTGTGCAATAAACTGAATGATTTTGACAAATATATTGAGAGGCATGTCTCTTGGAACCACGCTTCGAGATCCTTTTGGGAAAAGCGTTGTTACAATGGCGTTAAGACGACTGTAAAGAAAGAAAATAAAGTAACGAGTCAGCTCCTTTTGAGATAAATTCTGTTTACATGCTTTAAAAGTTACAGAGTTCTCAACTGATCTATTACTCTAGAACATCCAAAAGCTGCTCATAAATCTGTCCTGAGAATATTCTGCGAGCCTGATCCCAGGTGGAGTTCCTCCTTAAATCTAATAAGTGTTTATAAATTCTTTGGGACTAAAAGCAGAACTTAAAGAGCAAGTCACCCCCTACCAGAGTCTTACTCCACTCCCACTTCCTGTTTGAAAAATGCAACAAATGCTGTTGCCTAGCAGACCAAGAGGGCGGAGCCGCTAACAAATACACACACACACACACACACACACACACACACACACACACACACACACACACACACACACACACACACACACACACACACACACACACACACACACACACACACACACACACACACACACACACACACACACACACACACACACAGGCTCACAACGACTTTGTGACATCATATGGTACCAGCTAACGTTCTCGGGTAACTCTTAGCCAATAGCCATGGCAGATTTAAATTCTAACGCAGTGCAGAGTTTTTACCTGACAACGGCACAACACTGACAGTTTTAGTCAGAAAATTAAAATTTTAACTAAAATGCACTAAAGTGCAAAACTATTGACTACACGTGTCTGCAGCACGATTAGACACACATTTATATAGTTTATCAGAGAAAAAAAGCTGATTGGGGGGTGACTTGCTTTTTAAGGTTGTTGCTGTTATTAAAGCCCAGAATCAACCAGTCACAAATAAGAGAGTTGGATGTATTTACCCCTGAGTTGCTGTGTTGCTCTCACACTTTATTCTTATCATATAAACCCACAAGAGTCGATACAAGGACTCGAGGGCGACACGAGCCATTTTGGGATCTCGACTCTGTCACAAAATCAGAAAATGTAGTTAGTGGCTAAATGTCATTAAAACATGTGACCGTCTAGAATTAGCAACTTATTGTGGATTTTTATAGAGTCAAAAATGTGTTATTGCAATCACATCATATACAAAACCAACGCTAAATAAGTAAATATAAATAACCAAGCAGCTCAGTTACCTTCAGATTTGAAAGGCAGTTGTTGAGGAAGACGTGCCATCTGCTGAGGAAGAACTGTTTCTGACTGACGCACAGCAGACACGTCACCAGTGGGTAAAACGCCTGAGAATAAGAACAAGGAATAAAATCTCTTTCATATTCTGTTGTTAAATTATTGAATCAAAGAAGTTTTATCTCTCAAAAACATCTGAATCTCTTCTCATTTCTGAATCATTTTCATTTTGTGTCTATTATAAGATTTAAAAAATGTTACAATACAAACCATGTTTGTGAAGTTATTTTCATGAAGCCCCTCACACATAGAGCAATTTAAGCTGTTTTATTCTTGACATTTTCAGTTCCTTCCAAAACTAGCCGTTTCGGGACTCTAGCTGTTGCTGGCCACGCCCACACATTTCCCCCATGAGGCTGCTAGGAGCTGAGAAGCTCTGTTATTAGAGATATCTCTTAGGTGTGTTCTTTCTGTGTCTTTCTAAATCCATTCTTTTGTACTTTTTTAAACACAGAAACAGTTTTGTTTACCTGTTTGTAGCTACAGTTTCGCCGACGGCTGCCGGCTTCTTCAGTGAAGAAGCCGGCAGCCGTCGGCGAAACTGTAGCTACAAACAGGTAAACAAAACTGTTTCTGTGTTTAAAAAAGAACGAAAGAATGGAGTTAGAGATATCTGTAGAGTTGCTGCTCCTCTAATCTGGGGAGCAGTTTCAAAAAGTCCCCATTTGTGATGTCACAAATGGGGACCTTTTGAAGTTGCTCATTTTAGGCACATACTTTTCTAAAACTAAACACAGACATAAAAGAGATGGCAGTTTTTTCCCCATTCTTTTTATACATTCGTTCCAAACCCCCATAATGCGGGTGAAAAATTGAAGCAAACCTGGAAATGAAATAAATTGCAGTTCCACCCTCATCCACTGGGGGCTGGTGTCAGAAGAGAGCAAATCCTCATTGACTCCCATGTTAAAAATACCAATTTCACAGCAGAAATAAACATGTTTACAGCCTGGTACCAAAACAGGTTTTTGTTTAAATGATCTAGTTTACACTCATGACAACTCTGAGGGGGGTGAATTTTTTTCTCACTCTTCTGTTTGTGTATTAAAAGCCTAAAATTCTGTATAATTAATGAGCATCCGACCCACGTGACCGCAGAGCTAGCTCCGGGGAAGGCCTCAGTAGAGCCTCGGTCTGGCTTGGAAACTGCTCCGGGATTTTGAGTCTCCGTGTTCGTGTATTCTGTTTTGGATATTTTTTGTGCAATTGTTGGACAAAATGACTTGCTGTGGCATTAATTGCACTAATAGAGCGTCCAAGGAGTCTCCACTTCATTTATTTCGGTAAGTAAAATTATATTTATGTATTTTAGGTCACTGCCGAGCTGAGCTTCGATTTTAACATGTACTGTTTAACCATGAAATTTAAATGTAATAGGGTAAAACCCAGTGCATTTAACATAACGCTGCACTTTAGAAAATGGGTTGAAATATAACATGTTGGTGGAGCTGGGTTCCGACTATTGGCTTGTGGAGCTCTCGGGAGACCGATGTTTTCCACTCGTTCTCGCCTCCCCGCAGCTCGGCGCATCTCTGTCTGATTGCGGCTTCTGTCTGCTGCGCGGGCTGCCGGCTTGTGGAGCTCTGGGATGGAAATCTTTCCACCCGGTTCTCCCCAGCGGCAGCTCTGCGCATCTCAGATCGCAGCGGCGCTTGTCTGCTGTGCGGCTGCCGGCTTGTGGAGGTCTCGGAGACCTCTGTGCTCCACCCGGTTTTACCCAGCAGTCAACCCGGCGTATCTCTGACTCAGAAGCTCTGGTGTTGTGCACAATTAACTCCGGTTGTAGCTAGGTTGCTACCTCTGTTAGCATAGCTCCCACCTCTGCATTAGCTTTGGGTTAGCTTCAGGTTAGCTTGTAGCTAGTTCGACCGGGTGTCGTCAGTTGATCCCAGCCTTACAGCCCCACCCTCAGCTCCACCTCTCTTCCCTTTTGTGGAATTGTCTGGGCTTGACGGAACCTGTGACACGGTCAAAATGGCGGTGGTGGCTACCTCCCATTTATCTTCAAAAATGTGTTATTGGAGCCTGTGGAAACCCATTGTCCAATATTTAAATGTCAATGGCTCGTTCTGCGATTATCTTCGTAATCCATTTCTTTGTTCTTTTTTAACACAATTTAATTTTTTTCATGTTTGAAGTGTTTATAGAGACATTGGAGACTCACATGGTGACTCAAAAGGATACAAAAGGTGAGTTTTGAATAATATATCTCCTTAAAAGATCCACTTAACCACATTTTTCATAAATCTGCAGGGGTCTCTAGTAAGAATGAATGCCTTGCAAGTCCTACTCCAGCGTCGTTTCAGGAATTAGAAGTGAGCCAGATCAGAGTTCAGCTGAACCTGGTAGGATTTTGAGTCTTATTTCCTGATATTTGGACATCTCGCCTCTGATTGGCTAACAGAAATCTAACTCTACCACTGAATCTGTTTACAATGTTGATGTTTTATCTCCACAAATAACACACGCCTGGAGGAGTTCTGCTGTGTGGTGGAGTTGCTAATGCTAACAGTTAGCTTCTACTAGCCGAGACATTCTCTACTCTTTCCTGGACGCTAAACCAACAACTGCATTCCCCGTCGTGAGTCAAGATAGGTGAGTCCATGAATGTTAAGTGACAGTGTGACGTAGATCTGTCAGGATTTTCAAATCCTACAGTTTCACCGTCTACTTTTTTAAATCAGAAGCTAATGCGGGAGATAGGTGTAGGAGACTATTTTCACATTCAGCCTGCATGCAATCATTAGAGTGACCGATTATCATCAGAAATACTCATTAAAAATGTTTCTGTGAAGTTGAACTTTCAAAAAAAAAGTTTTCTTCTTTCATGCATTTTTGCTGTAGATGCATCACTGAAAGACATCTTTCAGTAGCAATTGCTGAAAGGATAACCAGCCATTTCCCCCTCTTTCCCAGTGAACTAGTGTTACTTCACAAGGACCAGCACTGCTTTCATGCTCCTTTTGATGCCCTAGATGACCACATAAATCACCTGTAGTGTGGACACTAATGTTGTGAAATAAGATTTCATAAGAAGGAAGTCATTGCAGGCGTCCAGGCCATCATGCACCAAAGGTAGTCGGAGGAAAACCAGAGGCGTAAAACAACAAACAGACCCGTCAGTCAGAGCCTGTTTTCCGTGCTGTGACTAACCAGTGAGTGCTTCTTCCTCGAGGACAGGTCCAGGGTTGTGTCGTACAAGCTGTCCACAAAGTTCCTCAGGCAGGGCACGTTCACCTCGTTCTTCACCGCCTAGGTCAGGATCAACGTCAGGGTTTATTATTAAAAAAAAACTTAACGTTCAAGTAAAAACACATCTCACATGGTCTCTGATTTATCATCAAATACCAGAAAGATCTACAAGAATAAACTTACTGCTGCAACAGGAACCAGGATCTCCACGAAGAGACCAGCCAGGGCATGCTTAATGTCCTTATCCTTTACTTCTAGAAAATACTGAGCGCACTCCTGAAAACGTGAGCGGAGCACAAAGATTTACCTCTGAATCTGAAAACACTCTGACGACGTGGGTCGATGAGATAAATATGAAATGTCTAAAGAAAACAAAGGAAAGCACGAGTTACCGTATTTTCCGGACTATAAGCCACCACTTTTTCCCATGCTTTGAACCATGCGGCTTATAATGAGGTGCGGCTTTAGTCAACCAGAAAGGATGGATGCTGGAAAGTCTAATGAAGGAATGGTTAAAGGAGTGCTACGGAAAGCGCCCAGGAGGATTTTTTTCACAGTAAGACGGCGCTGCTCGTTTTCCCAGCTTCACCCCGGGATGATGACAGCAACACGGACAGCGACACTGACATCCCCACAGAAAAGGTATGTGACGAAGCTTTTCTGAGGCTGTTCAACTCCGACACTGAAGAAGATGACTTCAGTGGTTTCAGTACCCAGGAGGACGATGAATACACTAATCAATAACTTTTCTGTTTTGTTTGATACTGATCAGTTCAGTTACGTTCAGTTAAACTACGTTTTCAATTCAGTAGATATCTGCGGCTTTTAGCCCGGTGCGGCTTATATTGAGGTGCGCTGTATAGAGCTCCGGACGTCACGTGACTCTCAGAGAGTAGTCGCCATGTTGGCAGGCAACAAATGTAAACAAAATGAACGGGATCGGCATGGATTTTACACCGTCTGAGTTTATATAGTCAGAAATTAAACAGACTAAACATCTCCAACCCGTACCATGCCCCTGGGATACTTTTTAAAATGCCAGAAGCTGTCGAAGCAGACCTCTTACCAGATTTGAGATACCCTGACATTTTTATTTTCCTTGTTAATCTTCCCTCGTCCTACTCCAGCACAAATCCATAAAACTAATTAAACAAAAACACAAATAACATAGATTTACATGTAAGAAGTTTAAATAGAGTGCTGTGCTGTTTGAATGTATAAACTGAACGCCAAGAGAAATCACCAGTCTGATTTTTTTTCCGTGAATAAAATAAATATGTCAGGCAGGAGCGTCTCAGGGTCTGTCTGAGATCTGTCTCGGTGAGACAGATAATAGCAATCCAAAGTGCTTTTTATGTGTGATCTGACAATTGATCAACCATTGCTTAAAAATTAAATAAAGCTTAGCCGGTTAATTGCTGTGATCATAAAACACGTAAATGGCAGCACGCAGAAATCACGAGGCAACGTTTTACGTGACGTTTACTTGTTGCTATGAGTAATAAGACAGAAAAAGCCACGCCAAAATAAGTTTAGGAAGCCCACTAAGAATCATAATAGAGCTCCGGGAGTTGACGTCACTTCTCCCGGCATGCAACATTTCAAATCGAAACAACGCCATATTGGCATGCAGAAGCCCGCAGCTGGACTATTTGTTATTGTCAGAAAACTCAATCAAACGGGAAATATGGTAGATTCCTGTTGTGCTCCAGGATGCAGAACAGACGTGGACGACATAAGGAATGAGCCATCTACAGGATTCCCCAAGATCCGGAGCGCCGCAAACGTTGGATCATTGTAATAAAACACACTAGTGACCGGGCTAAAATGAAGCTGTGGGATCCCGAGAGTAAAGGTTTTCGCTTATGCAGCGACCGCTTCATATCAGGTACTTAAACCAACGTTTCCTCAACTGTGTATGGAGTTTATTTTAAATGCTTTTATTACGATTCTTAGTGGGCTTCCTAAACTTATTTTGGCGTGGCTTTTTCTGTCTTATTACTCACAGCAACAAGTAAACGTCACGTAAAACGTTGCCTCGTGATTTCTGCGTGCTGCCGTTTACATGTTTTATGATCACAGCAATTAACCGGCTAAGCTGTATTTAATTTTTAAGCAATGGTTGATCAATTGTCCGATCACACATAAAAAGCACTTTGGATTGCTATTATCTGTCTCACCGAGACAGATCTCAGACAGATCCTGAGACGCTCCTGCCTGACATATTTATTTTATTCACGGAAAACAATCAAACTAGTGATTTCTCTTGGCGTTCAGTTTATACATTCAAACAGCACAGCCCTCTATTTAAACTACTTACCTGTAAATCTGTTATTTGTCCATCCATCCATCCATTTTCATCCGCTTATCCGGAGTCGGGTTGCGGGGTCAGTAGCGTCAAGAGGCCCAGACTTCCCTCTCCCCAGCCGCCTGAGCCAGCTCCTCCGGGGGAATCCCAAGGGGTTCCCCGGCCAGGTCCAGTAAGAAGTCCGCTCCGACAGCCTCTGGCGTTTTAAAAAAGTATCCCAGGGGCACGGTAAGGGTCGGAGATATTTAGTCTATTTAATTTCTGACTATATAAAATGATTTCTTCGGTTTTAAAGTGTGAAGTAAACTCCGATGAAGTAAAATCCAAGCCGATCCCGTTCACGTTCATGGTTACATCCGTGTTTGTTTAGCTTCTTTTACCTGCCAATATGGGGTCTACTAACTGAGAGTCACGTGGGGTCCGGAGCCCTATGAAAGCAATTAAAATAAATACCATACACAGTTGAGCAAACGTTTGGTTTAAGTACCTGATATGAAGCGGTCGCTGCATAAGCGAAAACCTTTACTCTCGGGATCCCACAGTTTCATTTTAGCCCGGTCACTAGCGCAGTTTACTGCAATGATCCAACGTTTGCGGCACTCCGGATCTTGGGGAATCCTGTAGATGGCTCATTCCTTATGTCGTCCGCGTCTGTTCTGCATCCTGGGGCACAACAGGAATCTACCATATGTCCCGTTTGATTGAGTTTTCTGACAACAACAAATAGTCCAGCTGCGGACTTCTGCCTGCCAATATGGCGCCGTTTCGATTTGAACTGTTGCGTGCCGGGAGAAGTGACGTCAACTCCCGGAGTTCTATAGTCCGGAAATTACGGTACATCAGGGAGTTTCTGCCGTGAATTCTGTTTCACCTGCATGAACTGGAACGAAGCTTCAAAATCCTCAACGGGGTACATCTTAATTCTGAAGAACTTGACCCCCATGATGAGGCTGATGGTGCTCTGCACCACATACGGACTCTGCTCTTTCTGCCTTAGCTCCTTCAGCTCAGTTGCAAACTTCTTTTTCACAGCAGGAAACCTGAGAGGAGATAACCACACCAGAGCTTACACAAAGATACCTGCACAACAACCACAAACCAGCAGATCTTAGACTCAGAACTCAGGCAGCTTCCGAAAGTCGTACCCTCGTCACAACCTACACATGGAGACTGGCTCCGACCTGACCGTTTGCTCAGACTGAAACAGACATCAGGTCTAAATTTAAAAATGTCATCATGAGCTTTTCTCAAACCTTTATCTTGTTTCTCTGATGAAGTAAGGAAAGAGATAATGGTATCGTGTGGAGAAACAGAAACTATGATTACAAAAACATTGTTCAAAATGACTAAAAAATGATTTTTTTCTACCTCAGAGCCACTTAAACCTGTCATTCAGTTAAGTTCCTCTTGCAGAAAATGAAGCAAGTACTATGAAAAGAGGTGTGCAGCACATATTTCTATTTTAAGAGGTTGTTCCCTGCTGCTGTGATCTGAAAAGCTCAATTTCCAGTCCTAGTTTGGTGTTAAAGAAGTGTCTAAAAGTGTCTTTCAGACCTCTGAACCAGGGAACGTTTTGCAGAAAGTCTTCAAAGATGACAACACATAAATATAACGAGGCAAGGCACCGAAACCCGACCAGGTCAGAGATTAAAAATCTAAACTAGTCACAGAAAGTGGGAAGTTGTTGCTTACTTGGACTGGGCTAATACTCCTATGACTTCAGCATAGAGGTCAGCTACCGTGTGCATGTTTCCAATGTTGGGACCATGATATCTGCAAGGAAACAGGAGAGGACAAGAAAGATCACAACTTTTATGTTTCAGAAAGTATAAAAGAAATAATAATCTGTGTTGGAATAAATTAGCTCTCACCCCTCTTTATATTTAAAGTGCTTAAAGGCTAAATTAATGACTTCATTGACCAAACCATCCAGAACCGGGTAGAGTGGCATCTGTGTGTCAGAAACAAGATAAAATTAAACTTTATTAGATCATTAAGGGTGGAATAAGGAGATGCTTTTTTGCCACTGAAGCAAGCTAAAGGTCCTACCCCTGTTCTTCAGGCTTTCCCCCATTAGGCCTCACCTCCAAAATGAGGGAAAGCACACTGCTTATTCCCGAGGGTTCAGTTTTACGTTTTTGACCCTTTGTTGCACCTTTTCTGCCATAATTTCTAACATAACACACCTACGTGACCGTCTAACAATCTAGCTAACACAGTGTGGAGGTGTTATGGTAAAAAACGAGGCAGTTTTTACTTTTCTTTGTTTATTCATTGCATCAAAACAGCAGCTCAGCCCAACCAATAACCTGGGAAAACCCCACGAACAACAAGTCAAAATTTACAGAACCCAAGGGCGGAGATCGTGGCCGAATTTGGTGAGCACTCTTAAAAATTCCACTGATCCAAAGGACAGTGGTTCAATTCCCACCCCTGACGGACTACACGCTGAAGCATCCCTATGCTGAATAAAAACAAAATACAATTAAAGAAAACAAGCTGACATAATACACACACACACACACACACACACACACACACACACACACACACACACACACACACACACACACACACACACACACACACACACACACACACACACACACACACACACACACACACACACACACACAAACACAACTCTGCCATAGACAGATGACAGGCTGCGTGTACAGACGACAGGTCCGTCACCTAAACTATTCGCAACAAGAACAGAACCGAACTCTAAACAAAATATACAAAACAACTCCTTCAATTTATTTCGTAAAAAGGGCGGGACATTCTGTCCGCTATAATAGCTAACCCAGACCCGGCTTTGCTTCCATTTAACTGTTTCAAGCACACAGAGGGGTATGTGCAGAGCATGGACGTAATTTTCACTTTAGAAGTGTGTGTGTGTGTGTGTGTGGGGGGGGGGGTGGGGGTGGGGGGGTGGGGGGGGTATCTCTACAGTATGTTCTAATGGGAAACAGGCTTCAACACAAACGGTTGTTTTCCGCTTGGTCCTAGAGCTCAACCAGTGTCAATTTAATATAGCGTAATATTGTTTTTGAATGGCAAAAAGTGCTGGGGTCAAAACTTGACTTTGGAAAAAGTGGGGGGGACATGTCCCCCCCTGTCCCCCCCCCCACCCAAATTACGTCCATGGTGCAGAGGGAAGAGATGGCCAGAGGGCCGTTTCATGAATGGATCAGGATCCAGTCATTTAGAGCGAGACCTTCACACTGATTGGATGAAGCTTTTCCAGCATTATACAATTCAGAGGTGATTAAAATTGTTCGTTTTTTTAAAACACATTAAATGTGAACAGCATTTTAAGCAATATGACAGAAAATGCACCTTTATTAAGAAGATACATCACATGTTTCTTCTGTAACAGAGTTTATAAGACTCACCTGTTTTAAAACCTCTATAAGTACAAGAGAGAAGATGAAGTCGATGGCTAAATCTCTCCTTTCAAGTAGATAATCTCGCTGCTGCTCATCACTGTTAAAGAATAAAAATGCTGCTGCAATCAAACTGAATTCACAGTTTCATTTGTAGTTGTATGTGCATGTGAAGGATTTAGCATGCACAAATTAGTCCAGCGCTCCTTACTTTTTGGACTTTGTGTTGGCTCTTGGTCGATACTCGTGCAGCTCTTCCTCTAGTCCATTTTGCCTTTTGTACCAGTCGAATAAAGTGCGCAGGATGGAGGAAAGGCTATATTCAGCCAGTGAGCTCATGGTGCTTATCAGCTACAAAAACAAGACAGACATCATGCAAATGCACTTAGTGTTCAGTAGTTAGCATACCACTGTAGGAGATAGAAATCACTGTTTGTTTATCTGCACAGCAATTTTAGCTAAAAAAAACCCCATCTTGTTCTAATTCAGATATTTAAAGTTTAACAGGTCTGGGACCAAATTAGGACATTTTAAAAGGGCAGAATGGATGGTGAGCTGGTTCTTATTGGGACCATGCCCACAGGGTAGTCTCCCTCAGTGTGGCAGGAGGGAGCGGTAAAGGAAGGAACGGGCCGGGCCAGGCCGGGCTGGGCACACAGGAAGGGGTGGAGAGTCTGGTCAGACTGTGGAACACAGCAAGCCCTTCATTCAGCGCGAGGCCGGAGAAGAATCCCGGCTCTGTGGAGGCTGCTGAATGGCCTCACGCTGCAGCACAAACACACCTCTGTGGCTGTGAAAGGCCTTTCTCTGCAAAGCCACAGACCTGCAGGACACACCTTGTGCTGATCTGGTGCCAGCTGACAGGATGTACACTCCTGCCCTTGACTGAAACTGAAAGACCTTATGGGATGTGAGCGGAGCTTTCACCCATCTGTTCTGTGTGGTTCCTAACAGCAGAGCACTGTTCCAAATGTAATAAACTGCTTAATCGCATTCAAATGTACAACATATAAACGTAAATGCTGCAAATGTAAGAAACAACAGTTTTTGTCTTCACTCACTTGGTCAAACTGAGGATCTTCTCCCCTCTGAAGTGACTTTGTTAACGGCTTTTCCTGCGAACACAAAACATTCATGATTTTACACCTCTGAATCTTTAATAATAATAATAATAATAATAATAATAATGATAATAATAATGCATTGAACTTATATAGCACTTTTCTAGACACCCAAAGACGCTTTTCACACACTCTCACATTCACACACTGCTAGTGATGGTAGGCTAGTTGTGGCCACAGCCGCCCTGGGGAGGTCTGACAGAGGTGAGGCTGCCATTTGGCGCCGTCGGCCCCTCTGACCACCACTAACACAGGCGAGTTGGGTGAAGTGTCTTGCCCAAGGACACAGCAGCAGGATGCCCCTGGCGGGAGCTGGAATTGAACCCATGACCCTCTGATCATGAGGCAACCCGCTCTACCACCTGAGCTACTGCTGATGCCCCATTTAGTCTTTAACTAAACAAAACTGAAAACATTGTTGAATTTATTCTGAAGCTCTGAATTTCATCTGAAAAAGAGCACAGTATTAGAGATGGGACACTCTGGACGTGTCCTCTATCACCTGAGATAATAGCTTTCAGGAGGGGTTCGGAGTTCAGAGCTGAAAAAGGAGAGCGCTGCAGAGTCCTTCTCAGCATTCAATCATTATTGTGGAAACAGACGCAAAGGATTCAGCATTTAATCAACAAAGCTTGTCGTCTCATTAGCCAGGCAGCAGATAACAGCGCATCTACTTGCTGAGTGATCTGAAATAACTAAAAGGTCTGATGAGCGTGAAACAGGCGTCGGGTGGGCTGGTGGCACTTTCTCGCTGTCTCTCATTTCTATCTGCATCATCAGTTAAGCCCGAAGCTCCAGCGGGCCTTTTAGTGGTAAAACAAACACTTTCTGTAGAAAAACTAACTGGACTGAAGACACATCATGCTTTGTCGGGCCTTCCCCTCACAAGTGAAGCACATTTTTACTATTACCTAAAAATAAACAGTCGAATTTGAGGTTCGTTTTACTTTGTAACGTCGATTAAACATCACCAATCAGGAGGGATTCTAGTAAAGATTCCCTTGAGTGCTGAGCAAAGGTGTCAGTAGGGACACGTCCCCACCAATGGGGCCATTTCAAGACATTGGGGGGGGGGGGGGGGGGGGGGGTGTCAAGGAAAGATGGACTTTCGGGGGTACCCTCTCAAAATTAACCTTGAAAGTGACCCTGCCCCAACCCACAAGAGTGCCACAGCATGGACACTGTTTATGATTCCATTTACCTTTAAGAAACCTATACCTTTGGTACAGTGCAAAAATGTTGACATATCTCACAAAATACTGCATGTATGGTCATGTTTACATTTGCAAAACACCATCCACCATCCACCATCCACCATCCCATCCCGTGTGTGCCGGCTGGCTAGCGGGGGTGGTGCTCACATAGGTGGGCAACACATTCTCACACCCAAGGTGTCAAAATATGACGCGTGTGACCAAGCCTCAATATATGACGAATCGGGATGCCCCAGCGTGTTAGGAGACAACGATCAGCGACAAACTGCTGACGTAGCGTCCCAGAACGTCGGTGTCCAACGCTGGTGCTGAGACGGACATTACAAGTGAACTACTTAACCTTCCCCTCACCCCAATCCTAACCTTAAAGTCACAGTTTATGGACCTTAAGGTTAGGATTGGGGTGAGGGGAAGGTTAAATAGTTGAATAATGTCCGTGTGACCACGCGCGTCAAACAGTGACGCCAGCGGAGCCACGTGACCCAGCGTGTCCCTGATCGTCGTCTCCTGACGCGCTGGGGCGTCCCGAATCATCATATATTGAGGCTTGGTCACACGCGTCATATTTTGATGCCTTGGGTGTGAGAATGTGTTGAGGTGGGGCGCCTGCGCCATGCTTACACAGTTTTATGTTGCATGTATTTCATAAACAGACATTTTATGGGGCTCCTAAACAGCTCAGGGGCCTAGGCAATTGCCTTGTCTGCCTGTCTTGTCACTACGGGCCTGCCTGCTAAAGTTGAGAGATTTATCCCCATCAACAATTTTAGTCTTTTCAATTTTGTCTGACCACTTTTAAATATGGCTGCTGTGATTTTTCCCAGAATACCTGCTTCTGCTCTCAGTAGAAGTACCAAACATGAACGATAGGTGTAAGACTCTGAACCACTTCCTGCTTCATTTCTAGCTCAATGCAAACATAAAAACTGCAACCAAATTTTCTTTAATGCATGTTCTTTGCATCTCAGTAATACTTGAAGTATAAATAAAAATAAAACCGTAGCTAACTAATGTATGTAGTTAAATTTTCAACAGAGCTTAAAGAGAATCTGTTCCATCCAACACTAGCTAGCCCTTTAGCTAACCTGAACTTTAAGCTAATGTCAAACATGATAAAACTGGGTTTAATTAATAAGTTCGGGATACAATTTTACAGATCAGTTTTTTTCCTCTTGGCCGGCCCTACTGGAGAGTCATAACTATTTATTTATTTTTTCCTGTCAGTCCAGTGGATCACAGCTCGGCTCTGGTGGGGGAAAGTTAACCGAAACCTGACACAGGTAAGTTACATATTACTTTATGGGTATTAACTGAGAAAGTTACTAACTCGTCTGGTGGTTAGTGGTTTGCGAGATCAGTCCTGAATTTTTAACTTAAATTTAATGAATAAAGCTCTAATGTTAAGTACCTATGCATATTGTAATTAAAGTTAAACGGACAAATGATGCTCATTTATCTAAGTGGCAAGATGGCACCGGTGTGCGTGGCTGGCCGTCTTCCTCTACTTGTGTTTTTAGTATTTTTCTGTTTTATGTACCATGTTGCCGACTCTCTGCTGGTGTATGATCGCCACACGCTTCTGGACCTCCGTTTTTCTGCTGGGAATACTTTTGATAATGTTGGGCAGGATACGTTGCCACCTCTGTTGGCTAGGATTCCAGCATACCTGTGCCGTGCTCCAGTGCTTCTGCCCTGGAGGAGACGTTCATCCTATCGGGGGGAAACACTGAGGGAAGCGAGGCGGAAAGCTAACTAGGTTGAAGTTTGAGCAGCGCCGGTGTCACCTTTTCCCGGTGCGGATAATGGTGTATCCCTATCCAGGGATCTGAGGCGTTTAGTGGAGCCCATTTGTTCCTGTTGCTGGCTTCGATTGTTTGGATTGTCCTTGGCAGCGTGGGAGTAATGCCACCTATTTGCGGCTCCTTGGCTGAGCGTCGGGTTAGCTCGCTGCAGCGCCGAGACAGGCCATTAAGTTTGGACTGGCTAATGCGAGGTCTCTATCGAACAAGACTTTTATCATCAGGGACTTCTTCAAGAACAAGGGTTGGGATGTTCTCTGTATTTCGGAGAACTGGACGACGTCTCCTGAAAGTGAGTCCCGCACTTTTCCTGAACTTCTGCCTCCAGGATGCTGTTATTTTAACTCCTCTCGGACATCAGGACGTGATGGTGGAACTGCAACAGTTTTTAAGGACTCTTTAAAAGTAAGCGACTTCACTCTTCCCTTTATCTCAACAGTTGTTGAATGTTGAACGTTATCTGTTTGAACTTGGTCGTAATGACCCCGTGCTGTGCATGGCGGTGTACCGTCCACCTGGGTACAACAAGGACTTTCTAGCAGAGCTTGCTGGGCTTTTGGCACAAGTGCTGCCAGAATGTGATAGGTTGCTTATTTTAGGTGATTTTAATATTCATACTTGTTGCCCTGACAAACCAATGGTGAATGAATTATTAAGAATTGTGGACTCTTTTAATTTGGTTTAGCCTGTTTGTGCCCCGTCCCAGGAACATGGACACTCTTGACCTGGTTTTAACATGTGGTGTGTTGGTATCTGACTTGGTGACTTGTGATGCTATTTTCTCAGACCACGTGGCAGCTTTGATTACTTTGTTTCTGTCTGATATGTCTGATGTGACCCTCTGTGCACCCTCCACAAGTTAGAGGTATTAACCCTTCAACTGCTGCCCGTTTTTCTTGTACTGCCTTTGATGACGTTCCCACACCTCCTAGTTCTGACTTGTTGGATGTAAATCCACTAAGCTCCTGGTTCCATGCTACCTGTAGCAGTGTCTTGGATTCTGTCGCTCCACTGAAGCCTAGGCTTCCCAGGACCAGATCTGAGCCATGGCTGAACAACTATACACGTTTATTGAGGCAGAAAAGTCGACTAGCAGAAAGGATGTAGAAGAAGGATAGGTTACTGAGCTCTTTTCAGGTGTTAAGAGACTGTCTTTGTGACTATCAGGGGGCTGTGAGGGATGCTAGGAGGGTGCATTTCTCAAACGTGATACTCTCAGTGCGTCACAGGTCACAGTTGCTTTTTGATGTAATTGATAATATTCTCAATATTCACCAACCAGTGGGTACTGAGCCCTCCGTGATGTCTTGCAAAGCATTTAGAAGGTTTTTTGGTGGACAAAATAGTCAATATCAGACTGAGCTCAGATTCTGTCAGTTCCCTGTCAGACTTTTTCTGGTCCCTGTTCAGTTTTAGTCAGTTGGAGCTCTTACGTTGGATTGCCTTTGGGATTTTGTTAAGTTTTTTAAACCTGCTGGTTCTCCCTTGGATTTGATGCCCCCTAGGCTTTTAAAATACGTTTTTTTATCAGTTGGTCCTTGGGTTCTTGCCATTATTAACTCATTCACTGCCATTGACGACTAAAGTCGTCATTTTAAATCCAACCGTTCACTCATGCAGGGAGAACAAACATCTCAGCTCTAAAGCAGATCTTCATCCGCACATGTCACGTGATCAGGAAGCAGAAAATCCACGTGTTAGGAGATCGTTTTGGATCGCTGCTAGAAAAAAGTGAGGCGCGAACCGGAAAAGCTTCTGCCGATCACGATTCAACAACGGATCATGAAAGAACGGATAAAGCTCAAAACACGCAGATTCTTCCTGATGTAAGAGGTGAGTCTCCGCTTTGTTGTTGTTGTTTTGGCGTCAACATCATCCTAGCATGCAACTTTCTGTGACTCTTAAAGAAACAGTAAAAACGGTGAGAAACGCTGGCAGCGAATGAGTTAATGAGCGTGACTCCAAATTCATTTTACGCATTTTTACGCCCACCACCCCTATGAGTAACTGCTAATTCCTGAAACGGGAGTGTCCAGGGGTGGACTGGTCTATCTGGCATTCTGGCACTGTCCCGGTGGGCCGCTTAGCCAAGTGGGCTGCTTGCCCAGCTTGAGCCGACACTACTCCACAGTAGGTGATCTTAAGAACATTAGCTACATGGTAACCCGAAGCTAACAGCGTTTTTCCAGGCATTTTTAGCAAGAAAAACGCGGTAGAGCGTTGACATAGGAGTTGTTTTACTGCGTTAGCATGTAGCTAATGTCCCGTTGATCTCCGCCCGTGGAGAATGAGCTGATCTGGAAGGCCAGGGCTCCCGGACGCAGCGGTCTGGCCCTGCTTGTAATTTAACAGTCCCAGTCTATATTAGATCTCACATTCGGCCTAGAGACAAGTCCGCGGGCGGCAACACCCCCTACCCTCGCCGCTCTCCCAATGGGGAGGGCCGACAATTCGTAAAAATTCCAGGGCCGCATTTTGGTCCCAGTCCACCCCTGGGAGTGTCATTGCTTTCTTAGCATAGAAAACAACTCTGAAGATACTCAACAGGTGTATTGGAAAAAATGAGTGAACAACAGAAAAAATGTTTTTGGAGAAAAGAGATGAGGTATTTTTTTCAGGAGAAGGTGAGCACTGAGCTGTATTGTTTTGTATCCGAGGCGTCAAAAACTGACGCTGGGTGACCAAGCGTTTGTTTCCGAGACTGCAGCTGCGTCACACTGTACCGCGTAGCCAATAGCATTTGGAGGTGACCTGTTCACGAAGTAACTTACAAACCAAGACTCCGTTGGAGTTATCATTTTCCATCTCTACAGAATAACACATACCTCTACCAGGCACGCCAACCATTTGGTCTGTGACTTTCTGCTCACTCACCAGCGGCTCAGCCATGATAATGCGGATCTTGCACTCGGACAGGGTGGTGAAGCTGGCAAAAAGGCTCTTGAGGACGTACTCGCCCGGCCTGCTCTCTGGATCGATGCTAATGGGCATCATGGCTGGGGGACCTTTTTCTCCCTGAGGACAGCTGACTGAAGGGATGGGAGGTTTGCTGTATCCGTTCCCCACAGGTGAGGCTGAGGGAACAAACACAAAACCATGACTTGGGAAACTGAGCAAAATTAAGCTAAATGTTACCATCTTAAGCACAGATGAATGTGTCTAGCTAAGCCACAGATCTAAGTATGAAAGAAAACAGAGCATTCCTGGAAAATTTTCCAAAAATGGACAAAACCTTTCAAACATGTTGGGCATTCCAGAGTCGGGCTGTACAAAGAGCATGGGTTTGCAGCGAGTCTGCTCTTTTATCCTACTTTTACACAAAATGGGGCACACGTGGAAAATAAAACATCATGGTCATCAGTTGGTGTTTTGATTTCATACCAAAGATGTCATCGCTCTTGGAGGAAAGCAGGAGCCACAAACATGCAGCCATCCTTCAGTCAGTGTTGTCTTATGGACAGGAATGTCTTGATATTGATAACAAAACCCTCCTAAACTAGACTTTCTGAAAGTCTATGACAGTAGGGCTGCCCTCAAATAGCCCTCAGTAGCACAAACATGAAAAACGTTCCCCTTACTGAAATCCTGGCAATGATTAGAATTAGGATTATGCTTTTATGATTTAGCAGATGACCCTAGAAAACAGCACGTTGCGATAGTCAATATGAACATAAAATACATTTTTATTCTGTTTTCTCACAGAACAAAGGCTCTGTTTTGGTTAGTGGTAGTCTGAGTGGGGTTTGGGTTGAGTTTTCTTTGTTTTTGTGAGTCTTTTTCCTTGAACCTTGTTTCCTGTTTTATTCTGTAACTCAATTTCCTTGGAATGTTCTTCAGCTACTTTTATGGTTTGCTTGCCGGCTTGTAGCGTGAGGCCGACTGATATGTATTTTTTTGGGTCGATGCAGATACAGATTTTTAAAGGACTTTGTTGCCAATGGCCGATATCTAAAGCTGATAATTAAGGCTGATATATTAAACACCAAATTTAAACGGATATTCCACTCAGAAGTTAAATTTTGTCTGTTGTCAGATTTCTCAGAGTTCTGCTTCCAGATCAAGAGAATGACTGAGCTTTCTAGCTACAAAATCCTTTTTCTCACTTATCCAGGGTTCCCCCCAGCGCTTTATAAGCCTGGCAGCCCGCCAGGCTTTGCTTGGCCACCCGCCAGGCTAAGCGTCACGCCCCGCCCCCCTCCCCGGCCCTATCGTGTCCAATGACACGAACGGCACAACGAAACTAGAGCCCTCCATCAGCTGATATTGGTGAGAAACAGCAGCGGAACGTGTGCAACTCCCCACCCCCGCTCTCACGGAGGAGCGCTGCGGGACGGAGCGCGACCCCCCCTTCTGACGGCTGAATCCGCCAGGCTTAACTCATTTTCTGGGGGGAAACCCTGCTTATCTAACTCTGGGAAATCGAACAAGCAATATTTTACTTAGGGGTGGAATATTCCCTTTGGTGTAAACATTGAAAAAGGCACCTCATATTATTTATTTATTTATTTATTTTATCGGCTTCTAAAAATTCTTTCGGCTGATGGCCGATATAGGGAGAATTGAATATATCGGCCTCTGCTTGCAGCACCACCGTGTTTAATGTTTTGCCTGCTCCCTATGAACATTAAGCCAGACCCCTTGGATTTCCCTTTAAAAGATTGTTAAGACTTTAATCACAATGCTCTCTGCTTGGGAATCCTTCACGTCTGGACCAAAAACACTCGGCTCATAACGGCAGCTGCTTTTCAACTACTTTGTGAGTTTGACCGACCAACATTTTCCCACTTTTAGTCGACCTTGAAACCATCTGTATCCCATCTGCAGACATCTACCCCACCCTCTGAAAACTCTATCATAAACCAACTCAAGTTAAACATTGACCCCCCAGTGTTACACTCTGGTGCCTCAAGACACAACTGTGCTAGTGTGCAGGAATCCAAACAAACACCTCATTAAAACTTAACTGTAACTTACTGCTTATTACTGACCTCCCTTCCACTAAACAGCAGGTACATTCACTGCCTTTTACTGACAAATATATTCAACTATATATATATATATTTTTTTTTTACAAGTAGTCAAAGTTTGCACATTTGCATTTGGCTTGACTCTTGGCTTTAAGGTAGCGCGACACGGGTTGCGAATGACCACAGCCACCAATTCTTGTCATGTGTCTTGCCGATGTCCGTCTGATCTCTGAATTGTGTGTACTGAAACTCTAATTTCCCTATGGGATAATTAAAGTATTGATTGATTAATTGATTGATTGATTGACTCAAACCCAACGTAGAGCATCACTGTTAAGAACACGTTACCATGAAAGTCATTCAGTAAACAGCAGCTGACAATGAAAATGTACTTTTACGTGTTTAGGAAGAAGTCTGTGTGCCCTATTTAAAAAAAAACTCAATGGTGCCATTTTGGCGCAAAGCAGAGGCAGCATCAGGTAGCATTTGGTCATTCATAAGTAATGTCGCTAATGTTGCGCAATCACGTGCTTTTCACAACAAATCACACAATAGCGGTATGAAGGGGGTGTAGTGTCTGCGCTGTCACGGCCATGCAAGAAGACATGGTCATCATTCAGAAGTCCAATGTTGCAGTAAAATATCTTTCAAGCTTGGCGGCATGAGTGGCGCAATAATCTTGCCTCGCCATGAAACTATGATGCATTCAAAAGACACATCATGGCGGCAGGATTACCCTGGTATGCCGCCATGCTGTGTCGTTTGATAGCGGCTCATGAGACACGAAAGCTGGGTTGCTTTGACGTCAAGTACTGTACAAAAAAAGTTTGGAAAAGAGATCAGATGTCTGCGTAAATCAAAGCAATGATTGAATTATCGATATCTGCTTCAATCTGAGGTACAGAGCTGCATGTTTACATAGCTGAAGACAAATGCACACCTTTATACCAAACAAAAGGGGAAAAGAAGGAAAAATAGAATAGTATGTGAGCAAAAAAGAAATTAACTAAACACTTTTCTATCTTTAGAAACCTTTATTTTCCTTCCTGACCAATTTTAATATTTTTTTAATGAGTTCTTAGTGTGTGTGATGAACTTTTCAAGCTTTCAGGACACACTCCTCTCACTCAGAACCTACCCAGACCTTTGATGAAGCTGATGACACCGGACTTACTCCAGCACACAGACGTTCTCTCCATAGTTGGGAAAGAGGATGTCCAGGGTTGTCCTGAATCAAAAGCAAATGTTGCTCAGCAGATTCCACCAACTCCCACGTCTTGTGTACCAGTCGGTTTCGTTCTCCTGGGTCTAGTTTCCATGGTGTTCAGATGCAACAGCAGGTGCGTTTTTAAAACGGGAGTAGTGTTTGGAACGGTAGTCCACACATTCACTACTGCAGATCTCTCTCTCTCACTGTTAGTGCTCCCTCTGCGATGGCTTCCTCCAGCCTTGTGACCAACTGGCGCCTTCCAAGAGTGAAGGTCAGGTGGGAATTTTTAGCTGCAGAGTGATGAGATCCAGCATGCTATGGTGACATAGCTGAGTGACTATATTTGTCCCCGGGTAAACATTATATTTACAACGCAGCCCTCGCCCTCCCTCCACACCTAAAGCACGAGGTGCCGACCACCAGAGTGTAAACACCATTTCTTCATCAGCGTGCTGACCACTTTTGTTTTTTATGAGCCATAATCGCAAAGTTGAGCAATTCAAGATAACTTTCCAGGAATGCTCCAACGCTCTTAATCATTACTAGGTCACAATTAAATAAAAATGGGCTGTCACATGCTTGTCAGGATGACATTCACTATTTAAGGTGTTGACCCAAACAGCAGCGTAAATCAAGGAAAGATGGACATCAGTGGAAGCTTCTTTTCATTTTATTCTCCAACAGTGCTACCAACAACAACCCAGAACAATGGGGAGACAGACAATTTATACAGGTGACCTTAATTGGGAGAACCCATTCAAAGGGGAAAACGGTACAACCTCTAAAGGGAAACAAAACCTATTTACATAAAAGACTAACAGATACATTCATAAACTAAACAAACCAGTGCAAGCTGGAGTATTCAATCATTAATAATTCCAAACAACTTCTCCACAACCCACTCAATGTTGGTACAATCCCAGCGCCATATAAGGCTTGGTTTATGATTGGAGCATTTACTTTATGCTTGGTGACGCGGCTCGCGGACGGAACGCGCTTCACAACTTGCAGCGTTTATGGTTCATGCGGCTTGTCTCTGCGGTGAGCCAATATTCTCCCAAACTGTAGGGGGCAGCATGGAGCTCTACGGCATGCATCCAACACTACACCATAGTAGAAGTAAAAATTACTGTTGTTTACAACATGGCATTCCAGCATTTTTAACAGCGTCCTCGTCTTTTCCGACAGTGTGAGCTATTTCTCTCCAAGAACTATTAACAACACGTTGATCACGGTGATCTTTGAGAGCTGAATCATGCAAATGTCTGTATTTACGAACCTCTGCCATACTAGTTCTTGCCAGTCCGCCATGTTTTTCCACGTCAGACCGTCCGCGTGGTTAGAAAATTTCCTAGGTGCGCGGTGCGGAAAGTTTGAGCCGTGCGGAGGCGCGGTGGAGGGGCGTGGTTGTTAAAATGACGCAATTTTGCCGCGCGGAGCCGTGCGAACCTCACGGACGTGTCAAGCATAAACCAAGCTTAAGTGTGCACAAACCCTCGGGGAAGATTTTGTCTGTGCACACCTGCATGGAGACAGCAGGGGTTGGTTGAATGATGTGCAAAAGAAAAGACTAACTGTTGTTTGCCCATATCTCAACAATGAACTATTTTTCTTTACAGATATCCAGAAGTAAAAGGAATCCGCATACCAAAACAATACACAACCAGGCTAAACATGATGTCAAAACCTATTTTTGCTTCAACAATAAAAGTAATTAAATATCTATGTAACAGTGTCTCATTGTTACACGGGCTTATTCATACAAATTCTCTCATGTGGATGATTTAAACTAGAGGCTGAAGCTTCAACCAGTGCACATATTAAACCCGCGTCTGTGTCTTGGGTCAACGTCTCGGGCGCCACACAAGGAGCTCTGCCACAGCGTGTATGACAACATCACCAAGCTGGAAACGCCCTCAGCATGGTGGTGCTCCCGCGTGGACGTCTCTGTTCTACAGAGACGCACACATCATAGCCCTGAGAGACGTCCTCACTGAGTAAACGGGTGTTTCAGCAGCCGTCTGTGGTCAGTGTGGGTGGACATTTACACGCCCCTGACCCCTTTTGCTGAATTCCAGTTTGGACTGTAAGAAACAAACAACACTGCTAGCACAAAGGGACAAATTGTTTCAGAAGACCAAATTTAATTTACCATGTTGACAGAAACATTTCCAATACAAACTGAAAAACACTCACAGTGGCTTTACGCTTTCATCTATTGAAATGTTTCTATGAATCCGATCTATATATATTTTAACTTTTTTCTAATGAAACCTCAAGCTGAATAGTTTTTTGTTCAAATGCATCATAAAATGTTTAAAACTAACAGCAAGTTTGGAGTTTGAGATTTTTAAAACGTGCAGCCAGAAGAGCTGAGAGAAGAGCAGCGAGGATCTGGAACTATTGGCTGTTCACTGTTTCGGTGAGCTGACATCATGCTGTCGACTGTGAGAGAACATTTCAGGCGAATTATGTAAGTGAGGAACTATTTAAAAACCTGTGGTTAATAACATAAAAATTCACTGAATGTAAGTGAAAAACTGACAGGAATCACACCGACACAAAACCTGAATTGTTGCTTAATCTTGGAAAATAATTACATTCAAAAGAAATATCCTGCTTCTGTGTGTCCTGGACATGTTGGAGCAGGTACATCTCCAGTCTGGCCCAGAAACGCCTTGGGGTCCTGCCAGAGGAGCTGGTGAAAGTGGCCGAGGAGAGGGCTGTCTGGGATGCTTGAGATGCTACCCCTCAACCCGGACCCGGATAAGCGAAGGAAAATGAAAGATAAGGTCATTAAAGGTGAGGAACACTCATTTAACTCATTCACTGCCAGCCGTTTCCTGATCACTAAAGCCCTTCGCTGCCAGCGTTTCTCACCGTGTTTACTGTGTTTGTAAGAGCCACAGAACGTTGCACGCTAGGATGATGTCGACGCCAAAACAAAGCGGAGACTCACCTCTTACATCAGGAAGAATTTGCACGTTTCGAGCGTTATCCGTTCTTTCATAATCCATTGTTGAATTGTGATCGGCAGAAGCTTTTCCAGTTCACGCCTCACTTTTTTTTTTACAGGAACGGCCCAAAACGATCTCCTAACACATGGATTTTCAGCTTCCTGATCATGTGACGTGTGACGTATGCGGATGAAGATCAGCTTCAGAGCTGAGATGTTTGTTCTCTCGGAGCGGGGACTCGTTCCGATGCCCACACAGAAAAAAAAGGCAGTGAATGAGTCAATCTATAGATTTGGAGCCCAAAAGCGCATTTAACAGCATGGGGAATTCAGCTGGAAGAGAAAGCTTCAGGTGACAGTATTTTGAGTCATATTTCCTGGTAATTAGACATCTCGCCTTGGATTGGATAATAGCATCACAACTCTACCACTGACTTGCAACGTTGATGTTTTATCTTCACAAATAACAGAAGCCTGGAGGAGTTCTGCTGTGTGGTGGAGTTGCTAATGCTAATGGTTAGCTTCTGCTAGCAGAGACGTTCTCTGTTGTTTCCTGGAGGCTAAACCAACAACAGCCTTCCTCATCGTGAGCCAAGATGGGTGAGTTCATAAGTGACAGTGTGACGTAGATCTGTCAGGATTTTCAAATCCTAGAGTTTCTATCAAAAGCTAGTGCAGGAGATAGGTGTAGGAGACTATTTTCATGTTTAGCTTGCATGAAAAACTCTTGAGTGACCCATTAAAATCAGAATAAATGAAAAATGTTTTTAGGTGAGCCACACCTGTTTGTGTTTACTTTTGAACAGAGCCTCACTACTCATCTCCTGGCCTTGTGCCAGTAGACACCAATCCTGACCCTCCGGTTGTGTGTTGTCCCTGTTTCATGGGAGATGACCGAACAAACCATTAAAGACCCGTGTTTAAAGCGCTTCGATGTGGCCACAACCCAAATAACAGAGAACAATTCACTGTCAGCAGATGCTTTCTCAGCATAAATAATAATCAGTTTCATTCAACAGTCAAATCATCCATCACATTTTCTCTCGTGCCACTTTACTCTCTGTTACGTAAACGCTTAATATGAGTTGAAGGCTGGGATTATGAGGGTGCATATTTATCAAAATGCTAAATGCTTCTGCCGTCTGATGGCACCCTGGGCCTTCATCACTTCAGCAACAGGATTACGCAACATCAGGAGATGACTCGGTGTTGGACGCGTCAACAGAGACACCTTCCTCCACGCTTCGTAAATACTAACCCATTGTTTACATGGCACCACGCTGTTTGAGCGTTCAGGTTCTACACAGTTAGAGCTCGCTGAGGATTCTCTGTCAAACGGGACATCTCTGAGTTTGTTTTCCACAGCAGTGAAGCTCTGGACAGAACATGCAACCAAGCTGAACCTTTGCTAATCCTATTACCGCGTCCTTCTATTTAATAAGAGCTACTTACACCGTGGAAAAAGAACACACCGGAATTCTGCAGAGCTTTATGAAGAATCTGCAGAGGTCTGATGCAGAGTTGCCATCGGTTAAACTAACCCTGCTTAGGGTAATCTCAGTGGTGACAGCTGGTATCTAACTTTTTAATGGAAAGCTAGGGCAGTCTGACAAGTTGCGTTGATTTTAGGTTCGCATCATTCCAGCCTGCAGCTGCAACAGTCACAGGCCACAACAGGGGGGCCAAAAAGTCACATTCCACTGAGGCCGATGATCACAACACACAAACTTTTACCTACTTCCACTCAGCGACTTCAGTAGAGACTTGATGCTGATGTCAAAGAAGCCCGAGTCCTGCTGGCTGGCCATGGCTGCAGCTTCCTGCCCTCCCCTTTGGCTGCGGTTTCCCTCCGGTAGCAGCAGCGGCAGAGGCAGCTGAGCTGGGACCAGCCTGCTGAGCTGGGACCAGCCTGCTGTCACCTCTCTGTGATGCACACTTTGCTGTGATGACGAGACCCTGACAGAGACACTGCTTTGCCCCTCCTCTTCTGTCCTGTGCTTGGCTATCAGTCCTGTGTGTGTGTCCCTCTCCCCGCTCGACATTGCTCTATCTCTCCAAAGCGGTGGCAGGCAGTGGGCGGCAACGAAAGAAAGCTCTCTTTAAATAACTGCATGGAGGATGAGAGTACAGGAAGCAATCCTCTTAGCGCAGCAGAGTTAATAATAACTACTGTTTGCCTGAGAGCAGGGCCTGCTACCGCTGCTGATGTCAGTGCATTACCAGCAGAATCATCACAGTTCTCAGAACATAATAAAAAGCATGAAAACATCTGGGAGATGTTTGAAGTGATCAGAAAGCAGATTGAGTTTACTGGAAGCAGGTAAAGAGCAGGAGACGACTACAGGTCTTCCACCTGGTCTTTACAGCAAATATCCAATAATTTGTGCTGAGACACAAACTATTTAAACCATTTAACCAGGAGGAGGCGAGCTGCTAGCGCTGACACATTATTTGCTACGTGACAATCAAAAGGACATGCCTCTAATAAATCAAAACTTCAAGCTTTAATTACACCTAAATGAGTGAGTTACAAAAATTGTTTATCCCCCTTATTTGTCATGATGGCAGACTAGACTCATTATACCTGAAATGTTTTTTGCACGAGTCGCTCTATTCTCTGTTTGTGATGTCACAAATGGGGGCTTTTTAAAACAGCTTGTTTTAGGCATAGCATTTTAGGGCTGAAATGAATTATCGAATGACTCGAATGGTTCGATTCATTAAATTCCTTGATTTATTTTTTACTGGAAGCTTAGTTAAATGTGCGCTCCGCCGTCTGAGCACATTTGACTGGAGCACTACGTGGTGATCTAGGTGCTGTGGAGGAAAATAGAGAGACCAGCAAAGACAGAAACCATTGTAAAAGGCAGAAACGGTCCAAAGCTTGGGATCAAGAGTTAAACTACGAGCAGAATTGCTAATGCTAAGCTAGCGGGTAGCATTCTCACGAGCAAGTGTGGTTCAGAAAAAACGTGATGTTGTGAACAACTAAAGTCCACAATCTGAAGGAAAATCCCCACCATCCCGTTTATTTGTGGATCTCTGCAGCTGTGTGGGGCAGAGCCGCTGCAGCTACCGTCTGGTTGTTGCTACGAGTCTGCTCCGTCCGCCGCAGAGTTATGGCAAGCCGTTGTGCATATAATTCACTAACACGCTGATATTTCAATGCACTTTTGACTAGATTATGTTGCCAACCATGGACGTAATTTTCACTTTAGAAGTGTGTGTGTGTGTGTGGGGGGGGGGGGGGGGGGGGCACGGGGGGGGGGTAACTTTACAGTATGTTCTAATGGGAAACAGGCTTCAACACAAATGATTGTTTTCCGCTTGCTCCTAGAGCTCAACCAGTGTCAATTTAATACAGCGTAATATTGTTTTTGGATGGTAAAAAGTGCAGGGGTCAAAACTTGACTTTGGAAAAAGTGTGTGTGTGGGGGGGGACATGTCCCCCCTGTCCCCCCCCAAAAATTACGTCCATGTTGCCAACCCATACATACCATACCATACCATACCATACCATTTTATTTATAAAGCGCATTCAACATGGCATTACAACCAGACAAGGCGCTGTACATTAAAAGATTACAGTTAAATTAACACGTTCAGAATGACATTTAAAGCATAGTTTATAAGAAAAAATGAAAACAAGAAAATACTCGAACTAACAGTCGTAAAACACTAAAAACGCAAAGGAATGTGAAACAACAGATAAAAACATATGAAAGAACCACAGTAATACAGATGTTAATAATAATAGAATAAATATATCACAAGTACATTGTTACAAGTAGAAATGAAATGTTAGCATTTCTAGTAGCTTACCACTGAACACGTTAATGGAATAATTAAATACTACGCATTATATGTGAATATTTATAGATATGTTATTTTGACTAGAATCCAAAATTGTGAAGAAAATTCAAATGTTGTTCAATAAAATATTTATTAACTATAAATATCAGACGGGAAAGAGGGAACTAGACAACACCAATTTAATATATGTTATTGAGTCTTTTATCATTGAGCTTTTTATTTTCAAATTTTTTAGCAGCGGACCACGATCTTGTTTCACTTGAAATGCCATCAAATAGAATACTCGATTACTTGATGGAAAATTCGATAGGGTACTCAATTACTAAAACATTCGATAGCTGCTATATCATTTCTAAGGCCCTGTCCACACGTAGCCGGGGATCTGCCAAAACGTAGATATTTTTCTACGTTTTGGCCTGTCATCCACACGAAAACGGATCTTTTTAAAAACTCCGGCGAAAGTGAAGATCTGTGTTCTCTCCGTTTTGGGTGTCTGCGTGTGGACAGACAAAACCGGAGTTTTAAGGTCTGCAACGTCACTTTCCGCGACAAAAAAATGCTGACATTACGTGTGCGACCTGTGTTTACACTAGCCGACAGCATGGATGCCCTCAGAGCTGCGCTCGCTTTATCAATTGTCCAAGCGCTTTTTGCTTGTTTGTTTATGTAAGTGGAATTACTGCTCCTTGTGGAAGACCACAGACGAAGGACGAGGTTAAGAACGGGGGAAATACTGCCGCCTACAGGTCTGGCATGTCCTTAACAACGTATTTATCCGGGTATGTGTGGACATTTTTTATTTTAAAAATGAGGTGGTGTGGATGCAAGTTTTTGGAGGGGCGGGTATTCGTTTTAAAAAAATCCCGGCTACGTGTGGACTAGGCCTAAAATCAAACATGGACAGAAAACAGATGGTTGAATTTCTTTCATGTTTGAAGTGTTCATGGAGGCAGTAGAAACCTACATGGCAGCACAAAAGGATGCAAAAGGTGAATTTTATGTAATATTTCCACCAGTTCCTGTAGGAACGGCCAGTATTTAATGTGACCAAATGCCACTGATCCAATTTCCCTTTTGTGCAAGCTGCAAAACCTGGAGTGAACACATTAATTTCCACGTGCATGGACCAACCAGAGAACGTTTCATCATTTATTTAGTATCTGGATTAGCTGCAACACATGAGGGTGAGTTAAATATGTTTTATCAAACATTTTCTTGATTTAAAGTCAGCAATCAAGCAAATTCTAACAAACTGAAATAAGCATCACATAATTGTTGTGGTTTCCTGTTTGTTAAAAGTATAAAACTGTTGAGTTCTAACATCTGGACACTTTTCATTTCCTTTAAGCAAATTCTACTAATCACAGGCAAATGGGTTGCCTAATATGGAAATCAAAACATTTTTGCTTTTTGAAAAGAGTTGGCTTCTCTTACTTGTCTAGTTAGACACTCTCTAAAGGGAAGTACAGTTATGCAATTCCCTAGATGAATACGTTTAACTTTTTTTTAACAAGGAAGAAGCCAAAGCAGCAGCAGAAGGAAGAACATCTTAAAATTGGTCTTGAGGTAATTAAAGCAATTAAACGTTGTAAACTAAGCAGATGTTTGAGTTACATCCCAAAAATCAGCTCATAAATGAACACGTTGTGTGCAAAATATGATGTAATGATGAAAAAACATCACCTTTTCCTTTGATTACACTGAAATACAAACAATTTAAACATAACCCCCTTGCTTATGTCCAAGACAAGCCAGCCCCCCCCCCAACCCCAACTCGTACCCCAAATATGCATCTAAAGTGATTAAATACAAATTATACAGAGTTATAATTTTATAGAGTCTTCAGTGGATGTGCTATTGAGATTTTATTAATGTGATTTTTACAAATACAGTGATCCCTCGCTACTTCGCGGTTCGTTTATCGCGGATTCACGACTTCGCGGATTTTTTCTTCGGAGCCTTATTCAAGGGAAATTCGCCGATTCGCGGTATTTTTCACTGATTCGCGGTATTTTTCACTGATTCGCGGTATTTTCTATGCGAAAAATCAAGAAATTCCTGTTTTTTTCATCAATTTCATCATAAAATGCACTTTTTGTAATAAAACTATAAAAAAACTAGTAAAAATACAGTACTATGTAAAGGGAGGGTTTTAAAAGTCTGAATACTGAATACATACCTGTTAAATAAATACTGTAAATATGGTGTCCCTACTTCGCGGATTTTCACCTATCGCGGCCAGGTCTGGAACGCATCTACCACGATAAACGAGGGATCACTGTACTTGTAAAATATATAACCTTCGGGGGAACCCGGGTGGGAACCACTGGTCTGAACCCTGTAGTTCAACCAAATCAAACATAAAGCAACAACATATCTGACAAACTGGACAAGGTCAGTGTCAGTTATTTAAAAGAGAAACTTTTTCATTTAGATTCTCTAAAAAACAAACATATTTGCTTTTTTGTTTCCCTTTACTCACTTTGATATAATAAAAAGCTGATGCAAGGTTTTCCTGAATAGATCAACGGTGGAGAATATATTTCTCTAGTTAACTTTAAGTGGATGAAGCCGCAAATGCATTAAGCACTTATTAGGAACATTATCAAGCTCTGATGGAGCTGAGGAATGTGAGGTATGTCCGTCCAGTTTAGTCATTTCTGTGATTATCACGATGAAACTCCCTCCTTCTCATCCGCTGCCGATCCTTTATCACTCTCACTTTGGTCTGCCGTTCTCATGGTGCTCAAGCTGCTGCAGAGGTTCATGCATTTAAACATTTTGGGAAGTTTTCCAGGATGAAAAAAGGTTATTTTTCCTCAATTATGTCAAATTTGCACAGTATTCACCACCTGCCTGACTCCATTATTTCCAATCTGGTCTACACATGACACATTCAACAGGAAGGTGAGGAATTTCACTAAGTGATGCAAACAGCAGGATGACTGAATTACCAAGGCCCATGGAGATGAAAAAGGCACCTACTTTCTAGAATGGTGGGCCTCTTCTTCTGGCGCATCTTTTTAAACTTCCCTCTGAAGTCCTTGGGTGGGAATGGATCCGGAGGTGAGCTGTGTCCAAGGACGACCTCACCCAGATCCTCAGAAACATTCCTCTTGATTCCTGCCATGTCTTTCACGCCACTTTCCTCTGAAGACATGTTGGATCCTTCTGTCATTCTTCTAAAAACCTCATTTGGGATACACATATATATTTTGCACACTCGTTTGAGCTCTTTTTAATTCTGTTCCTTGTTCTTG